GCCAGGCTGGAGCATCATCTTCTGGAAGCCGCGCAGCTGCTTAGGCGGAGTCGCAGGCGCAGAGTCAGGGAGACCAATGTATAGCTGCGCCACCTCGGCACCAGCCACGCGTCCATTATTTCTCACGAAGACGGAAACCTGGCCAACAACCTCGAACAGGTCGGCCGGACCGCCGGGGACAACTTTTCCGTTGGCCGCCCCAGCACTCGTGTACACGTTCACCCAGAGACCGCTGTACTTGAAGTTGGTGTAGGACAGGCCGTAGCCGAACTCGTACCGCGGGGCGATCCCGTTCGCATCGAAATGGCGGTAGTCAATGTACAGACCCTCGGTGAAATCGTCCGTCTCAGCGTTGATCCAGCTGGCGCCGTAGTCGGCGGCCTGCTTGGCAATCGTGTAGGGCAGCTTTCCGCTGGGGGCCGTGTCGCCGTAGATCACGTCGACAAGAGCATTGCCACTTTCCTGGCCGGGGAGGCCGGCCCAGACGATCGCCTTGACGCTGGGCTGGGCGAGGATGGTCTCGAGGATGATGGGGCCGACGCTGTGGACGACGACGATGACGTTCTTGCTGGCGGCGGCGACGGCCTTGACTAGCTCGTTGCCGTTGTGCCAGGGGTCGAGGTTGTTGCGGTCGCCCTGGTTGCCCTCGACGGTGATGTAGCCTTCGCCTGAGTCGGAGTTGATGAAGACGATGGCTGTTTCGGCGGCGGCGGCTGCGGACGCTCCCGCAGTGGGGTCGTTGGTGGTGCTGGGGACGATCTTGGTGCCGTCGGCTGTAGCACGTTTCTGGATAGCGTCGAGGGGCCCGACGAGATACTGTCCTGTCAGTATGTTGTGCGCGAGAAGCGTAGGGGCAACTTACGGGAAACTCGGCGGTCCCACTTCCCCAGCCCATTGCGAGCGTGCCATTGTTGCAACCGCGGTCAGAGCAGGCGTTGGGTCCGGCAGGATTGACGATGGCGTCGAGGCCGACGATCGCCAGACTCTTGGGCTTGCGCAGGGGCAGGGCGCGCTGGTCGTTCTTGAGCAGAACGATGGAGTCACGCGCTACTGCCCGGGCGACAGTGGCGTGGTCGGCTGTCACATCGACGTTGGCCTTGCCGCCGTTCCATGAACTAAACGCCGTGGGAGGATACCCCCGATCCTGGCCGACGAGGTACCATGCGGCCAGAATACGAGTGACCATATCGTCAAGACGAGACTGCGGGACGGACCCGTCGGCCACGGCTGCCTCCAGATTCGATCCCCAGAAAATACTGCCGGGAGGACTACTGAAGTCACTTCCCGGCATGGTCATATCCAATCCGGACACGGCGCTGTTGACGGTGCTGTGCTGCGCATTCCAGTCGCTCATGATGTACCCAGGGAAGCCGAGCTCCTCCTTCATCAGCTTGTTGTTGAGCTCGTCGCTCTCGCACGCCCAGGTGCCGTTGACCTTGTTGTACGAGCACATCACCGACGCGACGTCGGCCTTGACCGCGTTCATGAACGGCCACACGTACAGCTCGTGTGCCGCGCGGTCGCCGATATTGGAGCTGATCGTGTCGCGGTAGTGCTCCTGCTCATTTCCCAGCCAGTGCTACTTGATCGTTAGCACCCGTGTTTTCAGGTTGGCGAGGAGAGCATACCTTGGCGCAAGCCTGCACACCCGAGTCCTGCATCCCTCTGATGGTCTTCTCCATAGCGATACCACTCAGATACGGATCAACTGAGAATCCTTCCCAATTTCTGCCTCCATTGGGATTCTTCCCCAAAGGTCCAGCCACGGGACCCAGCTGCACGTGAACACCCAGTCCCTTCGCCTCAGCACCCATTGCTGCTCCCCGCGCATACAGCAGCTGCGTATCCCAGGTCGCACCAGCATTGATACCCGCCGGGAAGGCCGTGACGGGGTTCGCGAAGCGGATACCTAGCGGCGAGTCTTGCAAACACAAGGAAGGATAGTCGATCGACTGGGGCTTGTATGTGTTGCCCACGCAGGGGCCGCCCATCCATTTGACTCCGGTCACTAGCCCCACCTTTTCAGTCTGGTTGAGCTTCTGCAGGGCATCTTTGGCGCGGGAGTAGGCCTGATCCCAGTTGCTGCCACCAGAACCGTAGGCGTGGACGGTCACGGCGGCCGCCAGGAGAGAAAGGAAGAGGTTCTGCATATCGGCGGGCGTCGATGCTGATCACTGGGAAACATATCGGAAAAGGGAGACATTCGTCGCTATTTATCTCGCGCCGAGTAAATAGTGAGAGCGGAAGGAATCGACAGGGGCGTGAGGCCCCTTGCTTCCCCGCATGGGCCATGCTTCTGTTATTGGATCAATAGCGCGCGGCCACAGTGGACAGATGGGAATGAAAGATGGAATGGACCACATCGGTGGTCTAGATTGACTAGCTAGCATGCATTTTAGTGGCTTTACTTTCTGTAGAGTCATCGCATGGCTCATGAAAGATGCATCCCGACATCGCATCTCTCTCGTGGCACTGTTACATCGCGGCTTCTCCGCAAACTTTACAAAGGAGATTAACATTGCACGGGCCATGATTATTGGACGGGTCGGAGACATGACCTCGCTAGAGACGGCTAGTCTTATTGTCCTTAGTTCCCCGCAAAGAATGGTCGCGTTATGACCGTGTTGTGGAAGCTGGGCATTGCGGGGGAGAACACCGGGAACAAATCAAAGCCGAAACTACATGTTTGCTGGATCTCGGCGGTGCATATGGTTGAAGGATTGGGCCCCTCCTTTCCGAAGGGTCCGTACGGAGTACAGTTGTTCTGTGGCGTGCAATCAAAGGAGCAGGGGTCAGCCTGCACGGCGATGGCCGACATTGCCCACCGCATAAAGGACATAAGTCGCAAGGTTTTGCGTGCAAGTCTCCTTGATATTGCTGTTTGTGGGCTGTATGACTCCTCGGCATTTATGACCGCTTATAAGATCAAACATCTTCCCTCTCAGTCGGGGAATAACCCCATTTACCCATTCAGGCAGCTGGCTAGCCCAAATGACGATCAGCTGCAAGACTTCCTCTTTCGTGCAGACTTGACCCTTAACCCCGCCTCGTTACATCGCTAGTCACTAGAGGATATCGGCCAGATGCCGATACTCACTGTAAGAAGTAAGGTAGGTCCGTGTGGCGCTGAAGACAAATCTTGGTTGGCTTAAACTCCGGCGCTATTCAGGCTTACCATTTCCGTGTTAGGGCACTCTATTCGCTTCACGCTATCGAAGAAGTATTCACGGGGATATTACTACTAGCGAATTAGCCATGGGACGATTTGAAGTTCTTCACTGTTATACCCGTCGGCTTGTCGGGCCTAGATGCCTGTCCCCAGGATGCAATTACCGGTGCAGATATGCCATTCGCCGGCAGATTGTTTGAACGGAACACTGTCACGGCAATTATTCTCTATACGGAAGGACTCAAGCCTTGAATTTCCTATATCCGGTTGCAGAATGCTTCAATAGGGGATGGCCATGATTAGGCTGTTGTCAACATGAAACACCAACAGCCCTGAGGACACAATAGCTACTCCAGTGGGAGTGGTCGTCACTTACAGATTGGGTCCATCTATAAAGAAGGCTGTCCAGACTTGCTCAGAGTCGATTCTCTTCGTATCAAGCCTTAAGAGAGAATTCGTTGCAAAGACACCATGAAGACCTTCGCAATCCTTGGAGCCCTCTTCTCCTCTGCCCTCGCTCAAACCCTCTGCGACCAGTATGCCACCTACAGCAACGGCCGGTATACCGTCAACAACAACCTCTGGGGCAAGAGCTCCGGCTCCGGCTCCCAATGCACCTACGTCGACAGCATCTCCAACTCCGGCGTAGGCTGGCATACGACCTGGACGTGGTCCGGCGGCGACAACCAGGTCAAAAGCTACGCCAACTCTCAGGTCTCCCTGACCAAGAAGCTTGTCAGCCAGATTGGCAGTATCCCCACCACCGTGCAGTGGAGCTACGATAATACCAACACCCGCGCAGACGTAGCCTACGATCTGTTCACAGCTGCTGATATCAACCATGTCACCTACAGTGGGGATTATGAACTGATGATCTGGTATGAGCTTGTCTTCCTGTCGGACCGATCAGAACTAACTGGTTGGCAGGCTCGCTCGTTATGGTAGCGTCCAACCCATCGGCTCGCAGATAGACACCGCTAGCATTGGCGGCCATACCTGGCAGCTGTGGTACGGCGGCAGTACCCAGAAGACGTACAGCTTTGTCTCTGCCACCCCGATCACCTCCTTCAGTGGCGATGTCATGGACTTTTGGGACTATCTGACCAGCAGGCATGGTTACCCTGCTTCGAGCCAGTACCTGATCAGTAAGTCTGTCACTTTATTTGCTCGATTGCTACTGACTGGTGTAGACATGCAATTTGGGACTGAACCGTTCACCGGCGGTCCTGCCACCTTGAGGGTGTCGCAATGGACCGCCAGTGTGAACTAGGGCTGGTACCTGGCAGAAAAATAACTTGATGGTGGACCGTAGCTGCTTTGCACTGCTTGAAAGAAGTGTGTTTGGGGATTCTTTTCCACGTTTTCCACAATGCGATACAAGCGGAGGAGATAAGAAGGGCACTTCATTTATACTGGTCGTAAAATCCCCAATATATACTGTTTCTCTTGGTATATTGGTCTGCGCTGAGTATCCGCTCCCTGGCCATAAACAGATAGTGGTATACGACTCTATCAAACGTGTAGAAATGCCCTCCAAATCAGCCGCAGAGACCTTCATGGACGATGACTCAGGACTTATGGTAAGACCTTGCTTGGCGAGACGTTCTATGCCCGATTTGATCTGGTTTATTCCAGGCTCATGGCCAGAAACCAGTTTGATTGGCTTTAGCACTGTGTTGAATGCAACCTAAGAAGAAACTAGCGGGTTAGGCACTAGCTCAGAGAAGCGAGGCGTCCTCAGGCCTTCAGCACAGGTAAGCATAAATCTTTCTTCTTCCAACATTTCTATTCAGGGAGCTCTGATAGCTTTACGTCCAAGTCGGCCTGCAGAATGCGGTTCATGTACGCTCTGTCATTATTGGTCCCGCTGGGCTGTTTCAAGCTCAGTCTGGCGGAATTTGTCCTCGTAAGTTCAACTTATCACACACAACCTTTATAAACTGTAGATAGTGATATTCATACCAAGCAGACCATGCCATGGGTCGGCTTTGTAAGCTCTGGCAACTACTGGCAGGGTTATGAGGGACGCGTGATAAGTGAAGTATGTCTTAAGGCACCATGCACTGTCATGATTCTGATCATCGCTCAAGAACGGGAACACGACGACGTACGCAATCAACTGCCCTCCGGCAAGTGACAAAACTGCCTGTATCAGGTTTGATCCTGATGCGACATTGATCGCTGCGCCCAGCTGTAGGCCTTCGATGTACCCATTCAACGGACATGGCTGACCGGAATACGCAGCCTACGACTTCATCATGAGCAACTATGACCAGTGTGTCTACCGCAGAAGTAATCCTGCTACGTGCTGATGATTCTAGGTATACAAGCACCGGGTGCACTTTCACTGGCTCTCCCACGCCCACCACCGCCACTTGCTCGTACAGCCAGTCATGGCATATTCGTTCTTCCACTGTGACCCGTGACAGAACATATGTTCTTCCTGGAACCGAAATTCGGGAAATAGTCTCTGCTACCTTGACTGTGGCAGGGACGGGTCCTTTTCCTACTGGCACCGCTGCGACTGCTACTGCAGCGACAACGACGGGTTCTACTACAGGTGGGACAGTAGCAGGGAGTTCTACCGCGAGCACGACGGCTTCTGGAAATGCCGCAGGCAGAACAATGGCGCCGATGATGCTGGTGGGTGCGGTGGTGGCCGGCATGGCGGTGCGAGCATAGTCCCTTCTGCCTGGAGATCGGGCTGGTATAGATGTATATATTTTGCATATTATTCCTTAGAGTGGATGACTTGTCTCATCACCTCAGAGTGCGTAATAATCCTGTTTAGGCAGGAGGTGCAGAATAATAGCCTAAGTGTAGCATACATGAATTTGCTCTTTCCTCTTTCTTTCCACTGGTATATATAGAGGCAGTCAGCGTATGTGCATATTAGGTGGACCAGTCTGCTGTTGGAAACGGCAGCTCTCGATGCAGTCTCCTTATAATCTCTTCATACATTGGCTCCGTCTCCGGCGTGATGACCCCGTGGCGAATCAAAAAGTCGATGACTACAACCGCACTATTCGGTTTAAACAGTCCCCTGCCCAAGGCGTCAAGCGCCTGGTCCACATTCCAAAGTCGAAAGTTCTCCACCTCTGAATCCTTCGGCCGGGGAACAGTATCCTCGTCGAGCTGAAGTTCGAATAGGTATTCGACTTCGGGCAACAGAACAGTCGTCGAGCACCCCTCGCTCCCAAATGCAACAGACGAGCCTTTCATGTGGAAATACGAGATAGCCCCGACGTATCTCATGCCACTTTCGATAATCTTGCGGTCAATAGACGCCTCGTCCGTAGCCTCGAGGATCATGGCGCTTCGCGGCGACTCTCCCGTGCTCAGGGCCCCGGCGGCAGTGCAGTCCAACATACCTGGATAAGTCTGTTTCTGCATCGAGCGTTTCGCAATCCAGAGTTGAATACCATTTGCATCCTTAACGTAACAAAGCATCTGCACGCCGCTCGTTACAATACCGAATAGTGAGCTCGCGGACCGTTCAATCTCCAGGATCACGTCGCCGCTGGGACCATAGACAGGGAATCGCTCGTTGCGCCAGCCTTTTAGGATATCTGTGTACCCGGCCTCAATCATCTTGTTGATTGCGTCTTGGATGATTCGAGTCCGTGTGGACGCTGCACTGTCCGGGGGGTTGATTAGGACAATTGTCCCAGAGTCAATCATCCAATGCTCCTTTGGCCAGGAGATGCTTCGTACAAGAGTGTTTGGGATGTATCCGAGAGTTGCATCGATGCCTTCTACTCTCAATGCATGGTAGTATTTGAGCGTGTCGGTGAAGCGGGCTGGTGCCTCCTCGTAGTATGGGAAGCTATAATGCGTTAGTAGCTATGCATTGAATGGTGCAAGAACTGCAGGGGATACGTGCTTATCTAACTCCGAGACAATGTCAAAGAGGGATTTTGACATGGTGGTATGTACTGTAGATCCGATCGAGGTGGTCGCGGTGGAAGAATGTGGTTGGCTTATTCCCGGTGTGTTGCTACGTGTCTCCAGTCTTATCTTACTACATGGACTATTGATTACTTGATCTCTCTACCATCCCGGCAGATTATATCCATTCACTTAAGGTGGATTACCTAATCTATATCTGCTGTACGTATGGTCTACAACGAAATTGCAAGGGCGGAATAAGAAAGGAGAGGACAGATGATCCAGAAATAGGGGCTGGGTGACAGAGGTACGAGAACTCCTTTATCTCATTGTCCATGGAACAGGTCACGCAATCGCCGAAAGCTTGTTTGCTTCTCAAGAGAGTAGCATTTCATTCCGACTAATCTTTCCAAGCCATATTACTGCATTATCATTATAACTTGGAGTGTGGCTGACGGATTTCGGTCTGTGCAGATCGGCGAGGATGATCCACTGACAGCGCTCTTAGTCATGACTTGTGCATGTAACTACTGTTCTGATGTGGTGATAAGAAAAATACAAAGATAGACTGGGAATGTTTATTAGACAGCAAGGCAGTTTATAGATGTGCTTTATAGTTATAAGAGAAGTAACAGTATGTGACTGTCCCCCTGCTGTAGCCACCTAATAATGTCAACTCTCATTGATTACGCTTGATGTTATTCGCTTTGTCTATGCCAGGAATAGTAATCTCACTGAATCGCGCTTTAAAGCGGTCAGGTGGCGATTAAGCAGGACCAGAGGATCAGGATCAGAAGACTGAAGAGATATTGCCTTTTTAAGGTGTTTTTGTACCTCGCATTACCGTCAGCCAGATAACTTTGCCTGCTTACCCCTACCCCGGAGATATTGCTTGTCAAGTCCGGTCCCAGGTCAGCAAGCCCCATTCAATGCTCAACTGCGGAGTTCTGTTCTGACCAGTGCTTACCTAGGGCCGATGCCAAGATGCGTACCCCGGGTTTCTACACGCCTTAAAGAAACTATATCCTGCATGTGGCTTACATGTCATCCCGTCGAGGAAAACAAGATTTCTCGGCATTATGGGATATGCGTATCTGTTGCGGTACTGTCTGGTCTTAACCCCTAGCACTCGGCGCCCCCATTGAAAAGCTCAAACAATCTACCTTGCCCAATAATTAACACATCCTCTTACATAGGTAGTATAATATGAGTCAGTGAAAATGAGTCAAGGTTGATATTACAGTAACCCATGTTGGAACAGTTTGTCAGAAACAAGCACATAAAAGGCCCAGAGAGGACATATCTCTCAATTGCATTTCTGTATAGTAGTCTTCATCTGTGTATCTTGACTATCTTTCATCAGACAATGTCTCCCCTCGTCTGGCTTGTCACTGGATGCTCCTCCGGATTTGGCCGGGTCTTCGTGGAGCAGATTCTCGCTCGTGGAGACCGCGTCATCGCAACCGCGCGCCGAGCCGAAAGCATAGAAGATCTCAGGAGCAACGGCGCCGCCGTGTTGCAGCTTGATGTGACAAGCGACCAGGAGACTCTTAACGAGATAATGGCAAAGGCAATTGCCATTTATGGTCATATTGATGTCCTGGTGAACAACGCCGCTTATATTGCTGTTGGTGCCTGGGAGGATGTTTCGTTAGTTACCTGGCTTTTTTTCCAGAGAGCAGTACAAGCTTATATACCACAGTGACGAAGAATTCCGTGCGAATTTCGATACGAATGTTTTCGGTGTTTTGAAAGTCACCAAGGCTCTTCTGCCTCATTTCCGACAGCGAAAGTCAGGGACAACTGTCTTCATCAGCTCTCGATCAGGATGGTGGGGTGATCAGTTTGTTGGTCCATACTCTGGAACCAAATTTGCCCTGGAAGGTCGGTTGCCTCGTAACGTCTCTTAGGTGCTGTCGACTAATAAAGTCAGGCCTCGTCGAAAGTCTCTGGAGGGAGACAGAGCCCTTAGGCCTACGAACTCTTCTGATTGAGCCCGGCCGGTTTCGTACACAGCTACTGTCGAGCTCCCATCTGAAGATTGCAAACTCTAGTATTCCTGACTACGCCGAACGATCGGAAGACTTTCAGAAAATGCTCGCCATGGAGGATCGCACGCAACCCGGCAATGTCGAAAAAGGCGTATCCATTATTTTAGACCTTGTCAGATCAGAGGGCGTTGCCGCAGGGAAGAAGATTCCTTTTCGGCTACCCCTTGGTACAGACTGTTACGAGTCGATCAAGGAAAAGTGTGAGGAGACACTAACACTTCTTGACGAGTGGAAGGATGTTATCAATAGCACGGATTATGCTACTTACTAGTTCAGGATGAATCGAGATGTTCGGAGACCCTCTTATAAGGCAGATATTATTGATCAAGTTGGTTACAGCGAGCCTATTTACCACGTCTGTGTAATAGGTCATGCTACTGTACCTACAGCTGCCAAAGCAGCCGTCCAGGGGTGGAATCTCTGCCCATTCTTCCTGCTGCTTAATCTCAATGTATCCACTGGATTGCTGTATAAAATTATCGATTGTTGCCTTAGGCCCCCTGTGGTTGGGTTAGATTATGCTGGACTCTCCATTATCATCTGACTTACTCGAGTTGAATAAGTGGAGGATAGATCGTAGGGGCGGGAGCCTCTCTACGTCGGAAGTCTCAATATAACTAGAAGATAGTTAGATCTGAACTAGCCAAACGGACTTACGATGCTTACTAGTTCATTTCCCGCAGATGGGGGTCCGACGTGACTTGCGCCCAGAGACCTTCTAATACAATCCATTATAGGTAAGCAGCAGCTCGTCTTGAGATACACAGTAGTTCCTGGCTTACCTCGGCAACTACTGACCGGAACCATAATTGCAATAATTGTAATATATACTAAGTTCGGTGGTGTGATCTGATCTCGTCGGAGCTAGAAGAGTACTGGTGGTTGGTTGCGTCCAATGTCGGATGGATGACAAAAGGATTCTTATACTCGACAAGTCACCCTATATGAAGCCCTTTGAGGCAATAGAATGCAAATATACGACATAATTACATCTTTGCAGTCTCAACTCTTATGGTGAGTGGATCATGTACAGCATCAAAGATGAGTATGACACCTCGACTCAATGGTTCAACATGTATTACCTGTCTTAGCACAACACGGTCTACCTGAAGCAATTGGATCTAAAGATCCACTAGATAATTTGAAGACCCGTGTTAAGCTGAATCTTAGTGTATTCGGAATCTACGATCTGCTAAATTTTCGGACGGAAGCATCAATACAGCCCGTTGAGGTCAACACTCTTCAGTGTGGTTTTCGTTCTATCGAAGTGGTGAGGTACATGAATATATTCGGTAGCCTACTATGAGCCATTAATCTATGATGCAAGGGACTGTTCGGAAGTGTATATAGCTGTTTTTCAAAGTGTGGACATTGGAGACGCCCGGGGCATGTAGATTCATAGTGTGATAACCCTCCCATCACAAGCTGATGATAGTATTTTGAACTGCCACGCGGTGCTCACGCTATGTGTTTGGCTTGTAAAAGAGCGATTACAGTGAAAGACGGCTATGTGGGTCTATTTTTTATAAAAAGGCTTACGAACGATGACAATTATCGAGGCCGTTTCTTCTGACTGACGGGAGAATGATGACCCGAAGATCTGCGTGTTAAAATATAGCTTAATCAGCTTGTTGAGTGTACAGACTCTTTCTCATATCTGTCCGCCAGACACTGAAGAAAGGCTCAGTTGCCTGCTTCACCATAGCGCCGTCACCGGATGCGCGAGCCATGAATCTTATGAGCCAGTCCTGCTTTGCGGTGCTGACGTCGCTGGCGATGCGCAGCTTGTTCTGCGACGAGGAAGGATCGACGAACATCTGGAATGCGCGGCGTCGTTCATCGGAGTACACGTCGAGCACGCTGATGGGCTTTCCTTCGTGGATAATGAGCTCCAAAGCGTCCGCCAGAGCATCGGCGTCGAGAATACCCGTGGTGAGGCCCATGGCCCCCATAGGCTAGAGGAAGTGTGGTGTTAGCCGATGTCTCGGAAATGGATCGTTTGTACAGAAAGCTGATCATACATTGTTGAGATGCGCGGCATCTCCCACTAAAACACAGCGTCCACTGTTCAACGTGGTAGCGCAAAGTTGGTGCACCCGATACGGAGATGCTCTCACCACTGCTGCTGTATCGAGTTGAGGGCTCGGCACAACGTGGGAGAGAAGGCTCCTGATGGATTCCTCCGCAACCACCTGGTCGTCCCCTCGCTGATCGCTAGGATGGAGCGCCACCGTACATCTCCACAGGGTTTCCTTCCCGCGCTGGGGCTTCTCCAGTGGCGAAACAAGCCCCCAATGGACGGGATCAACAAAAAGCGAACTCGGGAAATCATCATCAAACTCAGCATCTTTTATCAAAACATCTATGGCCACCAAGCGCTCCGGCCAGCTATGGCCCTTGAATTGAATGCCAAGTAGCTTCCGGGTCGTCGATCTCCCGCCGTCGGCACCCACGAGGAATGAAGCATGGAAGGTGGTTTCGGTACTCCCATCTTCCCGACTGACCGTAGCAGTTACCGAGTCCGCGTCTTGCTGAATGCCTTTGAGCCGCAGGCCAAAATGGACTTTGACCAATCCAGTCTCGACAGCCCTTCTGTAGAGAAGGCTGGCCAATTTCGACTGTTGAAGGTTCACCACTCCATGGTCCCAGTCATTCGTGCCCACTATTGGCAGACAAGCAAGCATCTCGCCTAGCTTTTTCCCTCCCTTGCCGTCGTCATCCAGCGGGCCCCTCCAGCAAAGACCGCCGGTGGTAAAGCCGGCAGTTTTGATATCATCTAGAACATTGGCTTTTTGGAGCGCGTGCAGAGCTGCCGCGTAGTAAGAGCACGCTCGAGGGGCGTCGCTGAGATCTGCCTCCTTTTCAACGATGTCGACTTTGATACCACTCTGGGCCAGTCTCAACGCTGTGAGGAGCCCGACGGGTCCTGCTCCGATGATGACGACTGTGGTAGAATAAGAGTTTTCTTCATTCTCAACGACCGAGAGCATTATCGTAAGCAGTGTTGGCGATGGACGAAGAGCAAGGGGGGTTAAAGCCAAGCTAAATCGGTGTAGATTGCGAACAATTGAATGCTGGAGTAAGTTCGACACAAAACGTGCTATTTAAAGAATTGTTCGACCGGAACGGCGTCCCTGCGGTTAGTTGACTAATATTTATGCCACCAAAAGCCAACAAACGCGGGCGTATACAGTCTATTGGTCTCTGCCTGGAATGGTGACAAAAGGCGCAACCCGCCAGGAACAAGGTATCGACTGCTTGCCTAGATTGACCATGTGGACCTGAGCAACTTCCCATTCTGATGAGATCTGCAGTTGATCCCTTCCTACCCGGTATAAATCCATTCTTATCCAGGTGTTTAGCCCGAGATTATGCAGTGGATTGCTGGTTGAATGCGAGATTGCAGTTCCGATATCGTTATTACCCCACAATATCCGAGACAATTGGGTTTCCGTACCACATTAACCGAGAGGAAAATCGGATCATTTACGAGGCCGTATAGAAAGGCGACATAACTGGAGGGGCCCTTTTTCACCAGATGATTATTTCAATTCACTGAACATAGTATTCCTAATCTCCAGGGTGGCCCAAACCGGTGCTAACACCATCAGAGACGTACCGATCATCATGACCACAAAGGATTTTGTATACAAGACCGTCGAGGGCCTTGACGTCGCAGCGACTGTGTACTTGCCTCAGACTGGATTGGGAAACCGAGGCGCGAAGCTACCGATTGGTAAGATAGTTCAACTTTGCTTGAATTAGAAGAACCAAGCAGCACTAACTGTACATCAAAACAGCTATTGGATTTCATGCAGGCGGCTTCACCATCGGATCCAGGTTTCTCTTCAATCTCGAAGAGATAGAGGTACTTCTCGACTTCGGATTTGTTGTTGTGTTGGCGGATTACCGTCTCTGCCCACATGTCTCCCTCTACGAGGGCCCCATCCAGGATGCGGGGGATGCTTTTCGTTGGGTGAAAACCACGCTCCCCGAGCTGATCCGCAGGGAAGCAGGACTCACACTGGACCCAAGTCGCGTTGTCGCTTTTGGTCATTCGTCCGGTGGTACTTTGGCTTTACACTTGGTGGGTTTAACCACATTGTCCCGATCCCTCCTCTCCAAGTACCACATGCATAAGGAAATAGCTTACGTTCTTGCCTCGTTGTCACAGGGAAGCCTACCTGACCCCCCGCAAGCGATTGCAGCATTCTACGCAGCTGCCTACTTCTCTGACAGTTCCTGGAGCCAACCGACCCCCGGCTCGGAAATGATGCCTCCAATTGATCGGTCATTTGCACAGCGTGTTCTCAGCGAGCCACCCCGTTCCATGACCGTTGTCGCACCGGAGCAGTTTGTCGTACCGGGCACCATGCCCATGCCCGATCTTTCCAAGCCTCGGGACGCCTGGATGGCTCTAGCATTCAAGGAAGGGGCACATCTGGAGCGTTGTGTCCAGGACGGCGACCTTGCGCGTGTGGACCCAGCAACCTTCTTCTCGTCTGCATTCCCGCCGACGATCTTCTTGACTGGAACGAAGGATACGTTTATTGACCCGCAGTTCTCGCGGCGCGCGCATGAAGAACTGGCGGGACTGGGGGTGGAGTCGCAGCTGATTTTGGCGGAAGGAGGGCAACATGGTTTTGATTTTGGGCTGTCAAGGGATGAGGTCCAGTTTAAGGAGAGTGTCCTTCCAGGCTACGAGTTTTTGGCCGAACATGTTTAGGTAGCCTAGGCACATGGTGCTACCCAGTAGCCAACCAACATAGCGACAGCCAGACTCGGAAGGTAACAGGATTGAATATGCAATACTCGGCATACAGCACCTTGTCTCTAGCACAAACTAAAGATATGATTTTGGACTGTACATGCGTTTCTTTGTTTCTTTGTTTTGGCCTGTTGACTAGGATACCAAAATGTAGCCTAAAGTATGGGTATGCGACCGATGCCTTCCTATACAGCTCTGTTGCAGTATTACGGTATTCGTCTTCTTCTCCTTCTTTTTATACAGGCCAGACATAGTACCAGGTTGCCCTATTGCCAAGATGATCTACATACGCTTTCCCTAATAGACCGTCCGGGAACTCCGGAGTCCGGGCACATCCGTGGAGGCCCACCTTTAAGCTCTGAAACAGGCGTTCAGAGATGTGTGAGTCTTGTATCTTTTTGTAGTTGCTCATCCACTCCATGGATCTCTAGTCAAACCCACGATGCCTCGTCCCAGAAAGTTGCTGGACATGCGCTGCACCACGTGTCAGACGAGCTTCAACCGACGAGAACACTATGAGCGGCATCTTCGGTCACATACAGAGGAGAAGCCTTTCTCCTGTTTCTATTGCCAGCAGATCTTTAGCCGCGGGTAAGATTGATTTCTTTCATTTCCTTTCCTTTTCATTGACAACTGGTACATATATGACAGCAATCGCTCACTGGACGAGCAGAGACTCACTCGCCCGCCACTATACGTCTGTCCATCAGACGGACACGGGGAAGCCACCGGCCAAAAGACGTAGAGTCATAAAAGCCTGCGAATCATGCCGGCTATCTAAAGTCCGATGTGACGGAACGGAGCCATGTCAGCGTTGCTACGACCAGCATCGAGAATGCTCTTATTTGGTCTCCAAGCGCACCAGACAATCTACCACACGCACTGGTCAACTGCCTAGGGGACATTGTCTGAGCCTTCCCTCTAAACTGGATCAAGCAGGCAGTGAGCCTACGAATAGTCCGCTTAGTACAGACGTAGTGTCGCAAGCTCATCCACAGAGTCAAAAGCTGTACGACCAGGGACCGGTACATTCCCCCGCCCAGGCCGAAGCGACCTATGGAGCCATCGATACGATCACGGTACCTCCCTTCTTTTCGCTGGACTGGAATGACTTTGATGAGTGGCTCAACTTTGGTTTCGACGACGAGTACATGGGGCTATCCGCCCCTGCAGCATCCGCCACAGCCGCCATCGCCGGGCTCTATGGTAATATTCAGGAACCAGATATGGATAAAGATGCCATCGACCCGAGGCAGTACTCTCCGGCTTCCATTGAGCTGGACGCTCAGTTGGTGTTTCCTGACATGACTACTATCGCCAGCGAGGATATCGAGAAGGAAAATCTGGCCCTTGTCGAGCAGGTCCCGGACGGTGTCCCACTGAAGGTATTCGAGATGGCTACCGCACTGCAAACCAAATCCAACTATCCCAAGTTTATCGAGTTGCGCATCCCGCCTGCTCGCGTTCTCAATGCCTGGGTCCAGCTCTACTTTGAGCATTTCCACCCTGTCTTTCCGTTCTTGCATAAACCTACCTTTTCCCCTGCGACGATGAATCCATTCCTTGTTCTTACGGTTGCGGCCATCGGCGCGCATTTCTCAGAATTGGAGGGTTCGCAGGCCTGTCATAAGGCGATGCATGAGCTCATCCGACGATATACATCGTACACAGTGAGGCTACACTGCAAGACCCCTCTGTCAGTTCGGTCACAGTTGGCTAACTAGCTAAATGCGAGTAAAGTGTGAACAATACAATCGCACCAGTCGTGAGCTTTGGATCACGCAAACTATTCTTCTCAATCAACTAGGCCTGATGTACTCGGGCAATCGAAGGGACCTTGAGCTGGCAGAGCTATTCCAGGCCGTCCCAGTTACTCTTGCACGACGCAAGAGACTTCTTTCAAATACTCTCCCTCGTGCACAAATATCCGCGTTGCAGCTCCCGCTTGGTCAAGAATGGCAGCTCTCAATACATGACGAGGAACGTCGACGGGCAGGGTTCGCCATTTGGGTAAGCGTTCCGTCTATGTCTCAGACTCGAGCTTCATCGATGGCAGTTTTGTAACTTCCAATTCTCTCACAGCTGATTGATTTCGGGTGGAAATATAGCTTTGGGCTCAACCATGTTATGACGGCGGACGAGCTGCAGAATTGCCTTCCGCACTCGGACGATTGCTGGGATGCACCCACCGCTCAGCAATGGGCTCAAATCATGCAAGCCAGGAGCTTTTCCACGGTACCGTCCTTACGTCGAACCATTGCGAATCAAAACTGGATATGGGCATGGTCACAGACTGGAACGCTTGGAAAGCAGACTATCCTGCACTATCTGGCAAGCATCGTCACAAAGGACGATGCAGATAGCTCCTCGCAGGGTTGTTGGTCGGAACAGAGACTGGCAGCGGCAGCAACACTTAAGAGTCTCCTTGGAGAAGAACTCGGCGAGGGCCACACAAAGACAGCTGTGCTCCACCGCGTGCTGATTTGCTCGGGCCTGATGATCCATTACAGTCCAACCCTGCGGATAAAATCTCTTTGCCTAAGGGTCATATACCGGAGAATGGACGACACGTCGTGGGATCTTCTATCGAGTCAATGGGCCAAAGCACCATTTCAAGGGCGTCTGGCGGTGTTGTATGGTGCTCAGGTGTTTGAAACAATCCGCTTGAATCGCTGCGTGCATTTCTTAACGCCGGCCTCTTTACTCAGAGCCGTGCTTGTGCTGTGGATATATTCCACGCTCTGCCAGCGGTACGGGTTGCTAGAGAGAGGTTGTCCAGGTCCCGGCCGAATCATGGAACCCTCCGCCGTCCTCAACCTAGAGTGTTTGGAGACGGCGGGTACGAAAAGGTGGCTTGCGAATGGATCAGGCTGCGTCAAGCTTCCAGGAATTGGTAATCTGCTTTGTCACCGGGGCGCGCGTAAATTGTTGGATGAGTCAATTGTGGTGATGAATTCGCTCAGCTGTTGGAGTATCAGCAGCTCATATGTGCAATTGCTGCAGCGAATTCAAGTAATAGAGGGAGAATTCGGGGCGGTTTTATCCTGATGTTGGCGGCCCCCTGACCCTTTGGAAACGATGTGATAGTATCATCAGCAGTCGCCGATTCATGGAGTGACGTATTCCTATTCTATTACAGATACCTTAATCATCAGCAGTGGATGGCTGAGGCTGATTCCTGGCGCGATGCAGTCACTGGGATTGGGGGGTTGCAAGCACACCTAGCAGGCATCCTAATGATAATTGCTGGAGCCTGCTTGTAGGCGTACTTCCAGTATATTGGTCTAACAGTAGAGGGAATCTTGCTTAGCTACGCAGCAGCAAAGTTCAAAACTAATCTCAATACTATGTCGGAAGCGGGTTCTTTTGCATTCCTGATATTCTTGACTGTGGTGGAACCAAATCGCAACTCAATGATAGGAAAGTTGCCCTTGAATGACATGAGATGAAAATGATTAAGCAGCTATCTGTCTCTGTGGTTAGAAATTCATATGAATTGATTGTACCTGTGCAACATTGAACTCACAGCTTTAATCATTGAAGACTGCCCCTAGCTGATCAATATCTTCTCCTGCCCTTCCATAGAAACCATATAGCTCTCTGCCATTAGCAGGCTGGATGCATTGGTCACCGCTGATTCCTCCAGCCTCGAAGTAGCCCCTATTTTCATGAGTCACCGAGTCATGAGTCCCGATTCTGAGTGAATGAGCACGCCCGGTTGATCCGTATATATACATCCAGTAAATTGGTTGATTACCAGAACTAAATTCAAAATTGGTGTGCAGTATGCTCTGTTCTTCATTTGGTGGGCAAGATCCAGCCTGGCCCAGTTCGACGTGGCCTTGTTCATCCTTGGCCCATCGGACTTTGATTCCCTTCAGGACGATATCTTTCTCGAAATCACCACTTCCTCTGCCGTACCATACATCCAGTTGTTCCACAGGCTTATTATCACGCCAGAGGGCGAAAGTCTCGCCCCCATTACCACCAACTGTAGGGCCCATCTTAACCATGATGTGGAATAATGGTTTTCAGGATAAATATCAAAACAGAGATTCACGTTTTATTGATCCAAGAAAGTGTAAGAAGTGTTCCAAAAGAGACAGGATTCCCACCCATATTATACCCCTATTCTTTCTCTCCCCAACGGGAGCAAACTGGTACTCCGACGTCTTGGTCCTTTCCAATAGCATACATTTAGTGTTTAGTTTCATCATCTTTTCTACATTTTGTCTCATGATCTATGACATGACTTGAACGAAGACGCATTCAGCAAGGTTACTTCACAACTCACAACTATCAATATGCTACCATGGCTACGTGAAAAGTATTGTTGCAGCTTCTAGATGATATTCTCATATTAATAATAACGCGCGGGTTACCCATCATGGTTACCTGAAACCATCATATTTAAGGGTTCTGGGAAGAAGTGTGTAAACCACTGCCGGATTGCGCTTGGCTGCAGAAACCTGAGACGTTAACGACTCATACTGGGGATAAAATAGCTTTAATTTCAGCTGCATCTAGAGAGGTAGATATTAATTGAATTGTTGATAATCTGAGACGGTAATGACAATAACCAGAAGCATGTGCTTTTGTGGCGAAAACTCGATCACGCCGTATCTGACTAGGTGTACATCTATTGACGTCAGGGGACAACTCTACAAACTATGAGGTAAAATGACCTGACTATGAAGGCAAAACTGGTTGCATGATGGTTTATCTCTGCTTTAGCAGGCGATGAATGAATGGCATTAAATTAACACAATCACTCTGTAAAGTACTGTAATTCAACTCAATTCTCAGGAGCTAGTGCTGACCCCTCCAACACCACCCTAACACCCCAGGTCTAAGTGACAGGCTCGGGGGTATTTCGGTACCAAACATCGCTAATAGTCTTACATTGCCTGCTTGCATACCTACAAACCACACTTATAAACTTGTCATCACAATACCCAGCGGGTGGCCTACAGCTCCTCCGGCATCCATGTCCTTCTTCATGTGGCATGGATGAACCAACAGCCCTGAAATTATTTCTAAGAGGAATTGTATTGTTAAGCAGCGGCAACAGAGCTTTGCCTAAAAGCTTTTTCCAAGAGCGCAAAACCTCTCTGGCGTTGAACTGCTAATGTCCCACCCACACATCGGCAGACATTTGTGACTCTCAGTGGCTATTTATTGTTGAAGACTAGTACAACCAAAGTTTTCCTGGCCCCTAATCAATATACTGGTTACATCTTAGTATCAGTTTAAGCGTCATTCTATTTATTGAATATGATTCTGCGAAATACATGGCTACCTTTGTATGTAATCCCCGGTCAAGGTCCATGGTTGATGTAGCTCCATATACGGTTATGGCACTTTCCGATCCCCGGCCAAATCTAGACTGATGGCAACCATAGTTCATCGATCACAATGGGGTACATGCGGGCACCAAGATGAGTAAACCCCTCATGATGTGAAAATTACTCTTCGACCGTGAATGGTTGAGAGACAGTCGAACTGATGGGCCAGAATAAGAGGCTGGAATCCGCCATCCTCCATCTCACTCCGCAATTCAAAGGAATCAAGCGACCACTCTCTTCCATTGATCCCACCGATCATCGTCGTCACTAGCCATGGTCGACTCTCGTGTACTTGAAGCCCAAGTATGGGTCAACAAGACCTATAAGAAGAAGATCAACGACGAGAGCCGATTCCCTCCAATCCTTGAAGATGGGATTACCGGCTGGAACACCATTCACGCTCTCATTCGCGCCCTGCAGTGGGAGCTCGGCATCGAGCAGCTCTCGGATAATTTTGGGGACGCGACCATGGCGAATCTCGAAAGCGCCGGAGGAATTGGAGACATGAATGGCGGAGACATGGTCCAGATTGTCCAGTGTGCATTTTACTGCAAAGGATAGGGCACAGGCGGTATGGATGGGGACTGGGGTGATGAGACGACAGAGGCGGCAACGCAGATGTGCCTTGATGCTGGCATAAGCTCCGGTCAAAAGATCAAGAATCTCACCCCGAAAATGCTGAAAGGTTTGTTTAGTATGGACGCATACACGCTTCTTCCAACCGGAACCGAGGCCGTTCGATCCGTACAAAGATGGCTTAACGGTCGATATCTTGACTTCCTCAACTATTACATTGTCCCAGCAGATGGAATATTTTCACGCAGCGTACAACGCGCCTTGTATATCGCCATTCAATTTGAAATGGGCCTGAGCCCGGCCGCAGCGACTGGCTCGTTCGGGCCAGCGACTCGCAAGTTCCTCCAACAGCATTCGATTGGGCCTGGTCAGCACGGACCTCTAGTGCAAATCTTTACCGGCGCGATGGGTCTGCCAAAAAGTCAAGTTGGCTTCATCAGGTGGACGCGCAGGTAAAGAATTCGCTGGGTTCACAGAGACGTTCACAGATGACACCTCGACAGCTTTGATGTCTTTCCAAAAGTTTTCCGAGCTTCCTCAGACCGGGATAGGCGACTTTTCCACATGGTGTCAGTTGCTGGTCTCGACTGCCAACCCTGATCGACCGTGACGGCTTTTGACTGCAGTACTGGCTTGACGGCCAGCACAGCCCAAATGATGCGAGCGGCAGGCTATCAATTCGTCGGCAGATACCTCGCTAACAAGCCCGGAAGCACCTTCAACAAAATGATTCAACCCGGCGAACTCGCCGCAATTTTTAGCGCTGGACTGCGCGTCTTCCCCATCTTCCAGTACTACGGTGGTGCAGCTTCCGCTTTCAACTACATCTCCGGACGTCGAGATGGGTTCGCAGCTCACGATGCAGCTGTCAATCATGGTTTCCCAACCTCCACTGTCATTTACTTTGCGGTCGATTTTGACGCGACGCAAGCTGAAATCAATTCGAACGTAGAGCCATACTTTCAAGGGGTAGCTGGTGCGCTTGCCAGGCGAGATAATAGATATATTATGGGCGTGTACGGCTCTCGTAATGTTTGCTCAGACATGACTGACCGCGTTGGTGCAAGGTGGAGCTTTGTATCTGGGATGTCGAGCGGATTCTCCGGGAATATGGGCTTCGCTATGCCCTCGAATTGGTCATTTAACCAGATCCAGACCACACGTGCTGGATCGGTAGACATCGACAGGGACGCACACAAACTGGGATCCGATATGGGTGTTGGGCAGGTGAGCGATACGGGGGCTGCTTCCATCGAGGAATTTATCACGTACATACGTAAAGTCTACGAGCTCGCCCTTGCCTACCGCAACACCTCTGGAAGTCTGTTCTTGGACCCGAATGAGATGGTTTTGAATTTCCTTCGGCACCCTCGATACACTACTGCATCGCGGTGGCTTCTCCTTGGCAATGTTGACGAGGTTGTACGCGACGAAACGCTGAATTTCATTTTCTACGCCAATGACAGAATTGTCAAACTTGGACGCGTCCGCGAACCCACCTACGGTGTTGACCTCCACGTCGATCACTTTGCTGCGGCTTGTATGGGGGTCTACCTTAGGGGTAGGCCACTCGAGCTTGACGGAACCCCGCCACCGACGGGTATCGCCGACTTTGCTGGCTGGGGAGGCGACTGGATCCAGCATTACGGCTTGTGGCAAGACGCTCTCTCGCTCGAACCGATTAAATGGTACTCGGGGCTAGAGTTCTGCCGTGCTCGCCTGGCCAAAACGGCTGAAGAGATGAAGGCTGGGCTATTCGACAGCACATTCAAACTTCGCGATCTCCTCGAGGACGTTGCTGCGTACAACATCGGGATGAATCTTCGCCAGAAGGCACCAGTAGCAACCAAAATATTCGACGAGATCACCTTCGCCTTCCAAGGTCCTGGCCGCCTCACGCGGTATCGGGACTTTTACGCTAGGCGATTCAATAGCAACCCGACCGCTGTCAAGGCGGCTGTGACGAGCATGCTTCTTCGTCACCCACCGATTGGCCCAGACGATTCAGTAGTGATTTGGGTTGCACAGTCCGTCCTGGTGACAAGACAGTGTGAGAACGCGATCATGGCATGGGATCTGCCTTCTGATCGCCTATCCGTGTTTTGCGATGGGCTGGTGGAAATGCTCGTCACCAAGGTAGAAGAGGAGAAGAAGCTAAGCTTATGAAGTACCTACGAGCAAGCTCCCCCAACAGGTGCTTTGCTATCGGTGCCGCGACCCCCCATCCTGGCCACTTCCTCTTGCGGCCTTGCCTCCATGTCCGCCCCCACCATCTGGTGCTAATGATTAAGGTATTATTCCATTTGTCTCTACACATTCTATCACACACATGTCAGTTGCAGAGTCCTGATCTGCTGGTTATAGAGAAATATTAAGGATACCCTAGCGAGGTAAATGCCTTATTAAATAACTATACTGTGCACGCCGAGGATCAGCTGCTAGCCCCCGTGGGCAGCGAATTTGACAGCAGCTTCGAATCCCAGGCCCGTGTTGGAGCCGGTAAGGAGAACGGTCTTGCCGGCGAAGGAGACGTGAGGGTCCTTGGGCGAGTTTTGCGCCGCCCAGCACATAATTTGCATCTTTCCTAGCCCGACCGGCGGTCCGGGGCCAAGGAGCGCGTCCACATCGGTCTGATTGGGTGTGTTCTGGGAGAAGTTGCGTTTGCCGGCGGTCTCGCTTCTGGCGATGAGAGATGTTTGTACAAACGCGGTCGTAGGGGTGGTATGCGCAGGGAATATAGCTGGTCCAAGGAATTCGATAGATTTACCGGGAGGATCAATAGGGGCTGGCTCGACCCTGATTCAACGACACTCTTTAAGTCTTAGCGATTACGCCGCCGTTTCAGGCAGCCGTCTTGAGGAGGATGGGGCCCTGTCGAGCCGGCAGCCGATGCAGGGCCACCATGTCCGGAAGACCCTGAATTCGGCTCCGATAGGTGGATTATTGGTGTTAGCCTATGGGAGATGATGATTGGAAGATGGTAAAAACATTGAGTTGTGGAAAGGGGATGCTGTGGCTGACCAGGATGTTTCTTTGCTTATTATTATTAGGTATTTCGGACACTATCTCACAATTACTAATTATAAAAGAAAGAAAAGAGAAGCCTGGATCACATCACACGCGTCACATTGCGTAAAATCTACATGGACCGATTCGACGTCTACGTATTCAGCCCACTACCGCCCCAATACAATCAAATGCTTCTCCAGGCTGCTGTCATTCTTCCTTCCATCCGACGCACCGCCAGCAGCTTGGGGGTTCGCATATTTGATGTTGCAGAGATAGTAAGACAGTCCTCGATGCAATACGGATTCTCTAGCGTCCCAATCGCCGAAGCCTCAGAACATCTCCTATTGAACGTAATCAGGCAAAATGCATCATAAAATTGTCTGCCTGGATGAAGTGGCTGGAATGACAACAGGGATGTCCCAGGCTCACCACATATAAACCCCGCCATCACCATCATTCTTTGTCTCCAGCAACAACCTCGCTTCTCCCGGCACCCACCACACAATGACCGTCATTGAAATCGACATAGTCTTCGACTTCATCTGCGCCGTAAGTAGCACCCCCCTCACAGCCCGCATCCGTCCCCGCTAAACCCAAACCCAGTGGTGCTACATCGGCAAACGCAGCCTCGACCGCGCCATCGCTCTGTACCGCAAAACCTACCCGGGTGGCCGCAACGACACCATCACCATCCAATGGCGCCCCTTCTATCTCAACCCCAACAAGCACGGGCGCAGCGTGCCCAAGTCTGTTCTTTTCGATGAACGGCTTAAGGATAAGACGCCCGAGCAGCGTGCAGCGATGGTCAAGCGTCTGGATAAGATTGCCCAGTCCGTAGGGGTCCGCATTAACTGCGGGGGCATGATTGGGCCGGACACGCGCGATGCGCATCGCCTCGTTTATTTGAGTCGGGAGGATCCTACGATTAGTTCGGAGGTTCATGGGGAGCTTGTGGAGAAGCTGCTCGAGGCGTACCATGACCGCGAGATGGATATCTCTCGGCCGGAGGTGTTGAAGGAGGCGGCGGTAGCGGCGGGGATTGAGGCTGCGGTGGTGGAGAGGTGGCTGGCGGAGGATGTTGGTAATGTGGTTGACGAGGAGGCAAGGAAGAATAGAGAGATTAAAGGGATTAGGGGGGTTCCGAGATTCCTTTTCCAAGGCAAGTATGAGTGGGATGGAGAGGATCTGCAAGAGTTTATGGAAATCATGGGGAATGTGAAGGCAGAGGAGGGAAGTGAAGGAGGTCCTTGACAACCATGTAAGGATTGTTGGGCATGTTGATCACTGTTATGTACAACTAGTAGTCTACCATATCCCCAGAGTCGGTTTCCAGAGCTTGATAGTTATATTTTGCTTGACGAGCCTCCCACTGCACTGCATGTGGCATATTAAAATTCCTCCCCGCAGTTACCCATAACCCATCACAAGACTAATAGGCCTCAAAATGTATTTAGCAATCATAAAGTTCCTCCACCTGCGTGGCAACTTCAACAAAGGTAGCGCCAGACCCTTGTTCTCTCATAATCTGGATCTTCTCCTCCATATTCATTGCTAAACGCATTCTCCCAAAATCCCTTGGCAGTTGTTCGGCACTTGCAAACCTCAACACCCATACTCCCACTTCATCCGTCGGCCAACCAAACTCCTCCACCTTTGCTTCCTCCTTGGTCATGTCCCTCCCGTCAAGCTGCACCTCGACCTAATCCTCCCTACAGGGCCACCACGCCGCACCAGTCTGTCGCAGGAGATTGCAGAATCTGTCTTCTTTGTCGGCACGAGGTGATGGCGAAGGCGGAATGTCAAAAACGTAATTTCCAAAGGCTGTGGTTCATTTGCCTGGAGTTGAAAAGAGTGAGGCGGATAGAGTCCCGGAAGGCCAAGTGATGCTTCCTAAGCAAATGCTGACCTCAGCATTTGAGCTCATTCTGAGTTCAAGCCCTCAGACTGACATCTGTTATCCTCTGATGCGTATCCGTCACATTGAGCGTTGACTCCAATAACTCTGCAAATGCACAAGACCGGACCCGAAAACAAGACATCCATGGTTTCATTGGCAGTTAACTGCGATCCCTTCTCGGATGCTTTGCCAGGCCACAACGGCTGAAGACAGACGCTATACTTGGCTCTGGCAATCGACCTGTAGGTTGAATTGATAATGTAGGCATCATTTGTGTTACATGAATGGTATACCTGTTGCTTTGAGAAAACATCGACACATAGAGCCATGGGGCACACACTCTGTCAAGGTGGGAATTGATTATTACAATCAAGATCACGAGGTCATCTACAGCACTTCCTCTCACGAATTAGTGCATTTGATCAACTCCTTATGTAAATAGAAACACATTGTAGCCGCGAAAGGCCCAATCCTGGAACGGAGGCATTGCTTAACGTCAACAGGCAAACTCAGGTATCCACTGTTCAGTCGCGCTTTATACAAGGAGTAAGTCTCTTGTCTGTCTAAGGTAGCATACTTAGAAACCACTAGGGACTACATAGAAGGTCAACCCAGAAATAGTATGCTGAAATTTACTCTAACAACCAGACGAGTCGTGCGTTGGGTCTGCACTATATCTGATTTAATCTGATTTAGCCTCTTTTGTCTAATAGCTCCATCCATACGTGAGAACCAAAATAATTCGTCTAATCTCAGATGATTGGTATATTTCGCTCCCTATAGAGGATGCAGAATATTCAGGCGTTCTCCACGCACACAAGCATATAAGAACAGATTGTGTGCAATGGCATAATCCTTTCCGCCCTATCATCATATTGCTGCGCCGTCAAGATGGTGACCACGGCGGGGACTTAGTATTATCCAGGCCTCTTGTAAACATTAATATCTATGTACCCCAGGGAACCCCCCTTTGACCATGAGCTATTCTCCAATATGTACCTGCTGTCTTTGTCGTCAATCTCGAAGTCATTGGAGCCAACGTAGGGACAGTTCCATCTAACGTGGCAGATCTTGTTTTTGTCCTCTTGAGTATATAGGTCAATGGACCCTTGAGTACCCGTCGGCGAAGAGTCTCGTCCGCAAGCGTTAACTTCCTCCATATTGTCAGGTTGGATTTCAATACTATTGACCTGACTGGGGGATAGTTCGTGATATTTGTCATGATAGCCGTAGAACTTTCCACTAATGTTCAATGGTTAGAATCAGACACTTAACCACGGCAGTTGGTTGTACAGTACTAGTCTAAATGGGCATTCTGAACCAATACGGTGCCTGAGAGGTGGTTGTGTATTCTCATAGTAATCCACTGAGCGTGACCTTCGGTGTTTGGCTCTTTGGGATCTTGGATTTTGTGGTCTGACATTGTGAAATAAAGATGATGAGGGTAGGAAACACAGGAAATAGGACTCAATGTAACTGCAATTTGCTTGATGATGAACTTGGCGGCCTGACAGAATTCAAACGTGGGGTGTGGTAGATATAAATAAGCGATTTGCGGCTGCTTTCCCCGATGCAAATATATGCTAGTGTCTTTTTCAAAAAAAAACAAAGTGACTAGCACCTGAAACTGAGTATAAGGAACCTGTGAAGCACTATGAGGTATTTTTGCCATTCGTCCTGCTTCTAACATATTTGAAGCAGGAGTGGAGAGAGGCAGATTGTGGTTCCTCTGGCTAGGCAAATGAAGAGCATGCTTGTCAAGTGAGAAGATTTCTCTTCCTCAGCTCCCGGGAGCAAAGATAGTCGCCCATGTACAGTGGGATTGCTGACATGCTAGAAATATGGAGGGGCTAAACTTTGATGTAGCACAATGCTTCACTAGGGATGAATAGTCTGGTCAACTCCATTCCATTCCTTGTCTGTTTCTCTTTATGTTCTTTGAAGTTCCATTATTTATGCGAGCTAATTGGGTTGGTGACAGTGGTGCAACACTATTATGGAATTAATATTTGTATAGTAGGAGAAAAAACGGCTTCAAGCAAGGGAATGAATGCACTGTAAGGGACTTTCGCCCGCACCCATACTACTTAATACAGTGTGACATTGCGGTACATAGGACAGGGCTTGTTGGACGGTACACATCAGACACATCAAGGCTGTCTAGCAAATGCAACACAGTACAAGCATACTCTGTGACAGGAGATGAGACTGAAATCATAAAACAGTCTCACAAGGAGAGCGTGCATTAGGTACTGAGCAGGCTGAGCTGGTGCCTACAGCCTAATCCTGATTGAAGCACTGAGGTCAGCCAACCACATTGGGATGACCTGTATACAATGGTCTGTACTAGACTTAACTAGGTAGTCTCATGTAGATCACCTATTGGTTATCTTGTGCATGGATTGGGCCCTTGACAAGTAGACCAGATTAGTCACACATCCTGGAGCCAGCTGAGGATGATTCAGGTAGGGTAGTTGGTAAGGACGCTAGGGCCTTATGGGCTAGACAGATCAGCATATCTATATTGGTCGAGGTTGGTTAGGCCATTCCGAGAATCACTGGAGAAATAAGTTCTGGCACAAGTTTGCGAAAAGATACGTAAGGCGGCAATCATAGCGAGCTGTCTGCCAATGCTATCCAGTGCCCCCAAGTCCGAGTAACGGGCTGTCACCTTCTTTTCTGGAGATCTGAGATAAGGTAGATGCTGCAAAATATGCGAAGATGCTGAAAACACTGAAAACGGTGCCTCTTCTCTATGTCTATTAATATGCTCCAATTGGGCAATGTGAAGGCACCTCCCAATGAAAAAGGCCGGCCACAACGTCTTACGCTGGTTATTATTCAAGCTCTTTTTCATTGAGTACCTCAGCCTTTTCACAGGTGGAAGTGGAAACAATCATAGGCGTATCAGGCGAGGCCCAAAGTTCTTCTTCAGGAAGCTTGGATATCTAACGTCAGAGGGACTTTTAGGAGAATGCCAGGTGGAGTAGAGGAGGGATGTTGGCTACCAGTGACATCTGATATATTCTATTTTCCCCCTCACGTCTCCGTAACCTCGATGCATGTGAATGGCCAATAAAAACAAGCTGTGGTATTTTTGCTTCTTGCTATGCAGCTATGGATAGCTGTCGGTAGTATTCTAAGGCCTTGAAAGCGGGGTGGTGAAGGTAGCCAAATGTCTGTCGGTTGAGGGTGTGAATTTTCGCATGGTGAATTGCGTCTCGCCCGGTTTCCCGGATATCCATCCCAAAAAGTGGAGGGAGAAGTGGTATAGTGGAGCTAATCAGAAGAAGTCTCGTCTAGCAAGAACGAATATAATAAGTTCCTAGCTATCAATGCATTTTTTTCCTCTTTCCTCATTATATTTACTGCATATGAGGCCGCAGGGCAGAACTGTACCAGGGAATGGTGGAGAAGATCAGACACTATACTCCCCAGGGGCGTTGGCCTCGTTACGAGAACTTGAAAAGTAGGCTTGGGGTGGCATCCTGCAATGCTTAATTATGACTTATCTGTACGTAATTTCGTTGGCTTGGGGAGTACCATCACCATGAAGAGGGCAGTTTCCCTTTTTGTATCGGGTGAACTGCGCAGGTGTAACATGGTACGAGGCGATAGCTGTGGCCAACCCTCAGCAGAGCTTTAGTGCCATACCAACAACAACAAACAGCCGAAAAACGGAATCATGCCATCCATAAACCATCTAGTTGACTCTAGACCAGAGTGGTAGGTCACTAAGACTGCTGCTTGGAGAGCAAGGAATCGGTGACATCTAAGTTAGAAGCCTAGGAAAAGCAGAATTTCTCAAATCTGTGGCAAATTGTTTAAATAACCCTTGCATTAATGCAATAAAAAGAATAAAGCAGATTACTGGGGACAGTTAGGTCTGGACGCACATTCCACAGGAGAGATATTGAGCTGGAATGCATGTACTTGAGTGAGATATTTGCATCCTCTTGTCTCTCTGCCTTCTTCCTTTTTCTTCTTTTGTTCTTTGTACTCTTTTCCTTTTCTTTGCCCAAACTAATCTTGCAAATGTGGATGACTACACGACTACCTACCCAATACTCATATACGTATTCGAGGTTCAAACGATCTCTGAAACCTATGGAGGAAATATGTGATAGGCAAAAGGCACTTGCTGATTTGTCCAATATCCACTAGTTGATATAGGGCCACACGGATGGCCGCTTAGTAAATAGACCATCACATTCCCACCTGTTTCTGTGCCCCAAGCTAGCACAAGTACTGTGCAGCTAGCGCTATGGATTCGGTACAGGCCCCATAAGAAAGCGAGAAATATGCGATATAGCACAGACGAGGTAAGCATCATATGAATGCAAATGGTACGACCTATCATCTGAGGGCCATTCAACACACGATCCCAGTATTAGGGTGCCCTTTTTTGGATTGTAGCTCTCTCCACGTACATTGACGATCAAGAAATACAGTCTTATATTCGCATCTGTAAACGTATAGTTTCTGTTAACTTAAACCCGGGTTCCATATTTCTGTAGCAGATGCGAATCTGTACTCGTCATTCGTGCCGGCCCCTGCTCGGAATCAATAAATGAGCACGATAGTGGGTTCACCAAGCATTGTAGCCACCTGCTTCTCATACGTTTTATGACAATAACTTCTAAGTAATCCGATCTGTGGGCCTCTCCAGAAATGTGTTAGATGATCATCCCCTTCTCTATACTAAACAAGGCTACTTCATAGGGAAGAATAAGAAAAGAATGGCAAATATCCAAGGTCAGATCGAAGACTATACGGTTTTCCATGTTCACATACAACTGGATATTAAGTTTTGAAAAGCCTCGATCAAAATAGCAATGACTACAAGCCTCAATACCAGCACGAGCCACAGGAGATGGTTCAGTAGTTCCACCTTCTGTTTCACATGAAGGGAAGGGCATTTACTTAGTTTGCTGCTCTTTCTTCTTCTTATTGTGGTAATGCCACTCTGTGATGAATTAGGCGCTGAATGGTATTTGCACTATTTATACATAGCATGCTAATTCCCCTAAACACTACCTGTCTCGCAGGGCGCCCCCCACGACAGTCTCTTCTCTTTCTCCTCACGCTTGAAATTGTGCTTAGCCAGCGCCAGCATCATTATATTACACGGCCATCACACATTCTACATGGTATTAATGGACCTTAGTAACGATTAAAAAAGGGTAAGTGGAAGACAGTTATAGAGAGGCGCTCTCATTAGAGTGGTAAATAATCTATTATGATACTAACACAGCCGCACTGGCCTAAAGCAGTTATGACTGGTAGAGAAATGAACTTAGAATAGATCTAATTTAGTTTTAATTTCTAAAACTTTAAATTTAAATTACAATGGTTTAGTGCTAACAGGTTTTAAACTCGCCCAAACTTAGACTGAATGCAACTCTACTTCCAGAACTGCAGAGAACTAAATTAAGTCATTAGCAATGCTTATCCACTGTATGAAAAGGGCATCCTTATAGATTCTTCTAAATACTGCATAAGATATTACTGCTAAGCAACATAGCTAGAGATGTAACTTTCCCCGTTCTTTTCTACCTCATAACTTGATCTCAATGGCTGATTGGATACTCAATTGCTATTGCTGACTCCCCGTGAGACAGCCCACTCTTAAGGAGCCATACTCATCCCTCCTTATGTTGATAAACCCCTGCTGCTTTTTGTCTAAACAAAAGCAATGCTAATCCTATTTTTCTGCTGAAGAGCACGGCTGTCTCCAATACACCATAGAAAATGTGTTCCTTAGACAGGCTATCATGGACCGCATAGATACTTTTTGTGGTACAATAATCAGCATGGAAAAGTTTCCGTACAGGTTAGGTGCCTATACCTGGGAATATTTGAAGCGGGGACGGATAACTGTTGCACTTGTGAGCGTTTTAGTATACTATCATTCCCATTATGTTTGCGCATAATCGCTAATTCCTCAACGAATAGAGCTGGCAGAGTGAGTACATTAAGAGACTCGCGTTTGGTCTTCAGTGGACAGATGTCGTATGGTATCGGTCTATTCAGATGGTAAGAACTATCTTTCCACGCCCAGGATACCTTCCGTTGGCAATGTCGTACGCCTCTTGTACTTTTGCAAGGGGATACGTCCCAGCAACAAAAGGACGTACAAGACCCGAGTCCGCAAGTTCTGCCAAATAGTGCAAAGCCTGGCTGCTTCCCTCGACAATAAAGAATAAAGCGCGGACACCCTCCCTACGTATACCACGCTTTTCATGATCCTCAGCAAAGTTGTAGCTCGCCGAATCCACGGATAAAAGAGTGCCGTTTTCTTTCACATATTTCCAGCACTTGGCCAACACGCCACCGCCGACTGTATCAATGATGATATCATAAGCGCTGTTGTGGCTCTCCAGCATGCCGTACTCAACCGTCTCGTGAGCACCGAGCTCTCGAAGGAACTCTGCATTGCGAGTATTCGAACTGGTGGCAGCCACAACGTGGAGTCCAGCAAGGGAAGCCAGCTGGACAAGGTAGACTCCAACAGCCCCAGCGGCACCAGTGATCAAAAGCCGGTGCTGCCCTTCGCCAGAGGTGCGAGATCTGTTTCTCGGAGGGTACAGGAACACTTGCACGGTCAAATAAGGCCTCGTATGCTGTTTGTGCACTAAGAGGAATAGCCGCGGCTTGCTCCCAGGATAGACTTTTTGGTTTCAACGCAACTTCATCCTCCTCCACGATGCAGTACTCGGCCCACGCAGATGCACGAGTCACGTTCGACATTCCGAATATCTCATCTCCCGGTCTGAACTTGCAATCCTCCGAATAGACCTCCGCAACAATACCCGACAGGTCGTTTCCGAGAATGGAATGCTCTTGACGATAGGTTTCGGGCCACGTCAACATGTCACGAATCACCGTTGTAGCTTTGACACGGACAAGGAGTTCGTCATTTTTGGACAGCTTAGGAATAGGCACGTTTTGATCGAGGTACAAGGCTGATGACGGTGCCGGATTTGAGGACGAATATGGAGGGGCAGATGAAGGAGCTGAACCCACACGAATTGCCTGCATTGCGAAAGATTCTCGATGTCTTCTTTAATATGTCAATTTGCAAGCACTGTTCTCTAAGTGCAGCCCCAACGTGATGGTTTTAAAGTATAATGTTGGAGACTGCAAACGTATTTCTAGTACGGTCAGGCTCTCATAGGCGGTGATTGGAAGGGAGAGAAACTAAAATGATAATTGGATAGGTTCATGTTCACTCCATACCGTAGTATATAGATCACCTAGATGATTACTGGGTTGAGAAGATCGGACCCTTTCAGACGGTTATCTCGGCATACAAATACTACCTTAGGATTACCGAACGAAAGGGCGCATGGCCAACCTAAGTAGAGGTGGCGGTCATTTCGGCCGTTCTAGATACACTCTTGAGCGGTCAGCCTACTAGCTGGGTAATGGTTGTTACAATTAGGTATATTGGATGGTACTGCCACTCATGATGACGGTAGTCTTACTAAGGCTGTATTTATAAGCCAAAGTCAAACTATGTGTACATGAGCCGGGGTCTCTAGTACCACGAATGCGGGGCTGAAGAATCACAAGAGACCCACTCCAAAAGACTTCCTATTTAGGTAACATCAGATGTACGAGAAGCTCACAGTTCTCCCTCAAGTCCGATGGTAACAATCGCATCTGGGGGCAAAAGCTTGAGAATAATAGTAGCATACTCAGTACTATCTTTACCGGATGGCGTTTGGTCTCTTAGTTTGGTCAATATTACAAATCAAATTAAATCGGCTCAACCATTATTCAGGAGGTTAGCGAATGACTATATAATGACCGTTGGATCCATTCTCACATACCATCAGTACTTGCTGTCATAAGAAGCGCGCTTTAATTGAAGTGAATTTTATACTCTATCTAGGTCATCTCCCAACATGTGTCAAAACGAAGTTGAAGTCAATGGCTGGACCAGCATGCCTGCTAATGCTGGCGCCATCTTTGGTGATAAACCCTTCATCAACGTACCGGAAGCCCTATCGCTCGATGGGATCAAGCTTCCAATTGATGACCCCATTGTCGAGAAAACTTTGCGATATGCAAAGACCGCTCTTCCCATTGAAACATTCAACCACTCTATGAGAGTTTACTACTACGGTATGCAGCACTGCGCTTCCATGGTTTCTTATTCGCTCACCGGCTCTAGGGATGGTTATCACCAAGCAGCAGTTCCCTAAGCAAGCCAGTGCCCTTAACCCCAGTACCTGGGCCTTGACCTGTTTGCTGCACGACATCGGTACTTCTGAGCACAACCTCACTGCAACTCGGATGTCCTTTGATATCTACGGTGGTATCAAGGCTCTGAATGTCCTTAATGATTTCGGCGCTACCTCCGATCAGGCCGAAGCGGTCGCTGAGGCCATCATCCGACACCAGGATATCGGAGTTCATGGGACAATCACGTACATCGGCCAGCTCATCCAGCTTGCCACAATCTACGATAACGTCGGGGCTCACCCATACGTCAAGGACTTTGGCAAGTTGATTCATGATACAACCCGTGCCCAGGTCCAGGGGGCGCACCCGCCGGCGGAATGGCGCACGTTCTTCTCCAGCGTCATCCAGAAGGAGGAAGCAATCAAGCCCTGGTGTCACACAAAAAAGATGGTCAATGTTATGAGGAATAGAAGCTAGCACCCTGATGAGCAGTAGGATGAAGGTCTACCCTTTCGTCATGTCCGGACCATATTAGCTATATCATATTGCCATGCAGATAAATAGAGTGTTAAGAGCACCTATATAAGGAGCCAATCACCTTCTACTTGACCTATATTGAATATCCACTGGGACGAGGATATGTCTCCGGAATCTTCCCGCTTCCAGAACCGTCGCAGAATATTCCCAGCATTAACCGCATTTAAGCATTTGGTCTCGAACCAAAACTTTTCAAGACAACTAGTCACGAAGTCTCTGTGAGCTCCTTGTTGGGATTCCAATCCCGCAACAAACAAAGGCCACAGGATGCACTTGAATAGGGAATCACTGCTCCTAAGAGCGTCAATCACACGGATCAAGTCACAAACGAGATCGTGTTGCGAACTCGTGTCTCCAGTCAAGGCATCAAGAACGCGTTTGCCATATATCAGAGCGCCGAGCTTATACGACTGCGCCACCTTGTCGAGCATTCCAAGCGGTTGGGTCCACGAATGAGGCTGGAGTAAACCTGAGGCCCAGGTGTGGCAGTCAAAGCTCTGCGTAGAATCAAGCATCATCCTTACTTCCTGCGTGTACGGATACAAGTCAACCGTGTCAGAGCGATCTGACCTCATAAGAATGTCCCTTGAAGTTGAGAAGACCCGCAGAGCGCCTAATATTTGGTCAGGGCATCCCAGAAACGCCCTGTCAACGCTCATTTCGAGAGGCGTGACTGATTGTGATGGAGGAGTCGAACAGGAGAGTAGCCGAGGACGTGTACATGTCGCTCCGAACGTGTCGATCCTGAGTCAGTTACGTTCGTCAGCACGTACTACTGGTCAAGGTTTCGTGGTCACCATACGTACAAGTAAATCTGCCTGAGAATGAAGTCACGTAATCCTTGGATGGTGGTGCCCATATCTTGCGAAGTCATCGTACGTGGTGCCTGAGATGCTGGGATTTGGGCGATTACGCTTTTGATGCCTTCCAGGTGAAAGTTCCACTTGTCACTTCCTGACTCCAGGAGATCAAGAAAGATCAAGAGGAACGCGCTGGCAGCTATTATATCTTTCTGGGCCGGCCTTGCTGTTCCCAGCGCCCTTGAGAGTCCCTGTATCGCAGTATATTTGAAGTGAAGAGCGTCGTAGCTGGCATCCTGCAATCCAAGCCCGGAATGTATTGCTGATTCAGACTGATTGAACGCTCGAGCTGCATTTGCCTTGTGCCGCGCCGAAAGAGCAAGAACGGACATTAACAAGACGGGATGGCCCAGAGCAGCAGGTATTAAATTTCTTAGAGGATTCCTGTTGCTGTCATACATGATGAACAGCCTGCATACACATTTACTATCTGCGTCAGCGTTAGATAATGCTCGGGCACAGTCCTTAAAGCAACTTGAACAATATCAGACTTACAATAATATAGATAATACCTAGAGCTTCTTTCTAGCCCAATGAAGGACGGATCATCCAGGCTGGATGGTATGCTGAGATTGGAGGGTTCCAAGGCTTCTGTATCATCCACAGCAGTTCCGTTAGTAATGGTCTCGTTACATACAGAAACATCGCACTGGGGAGCCCCAACAAGAGCACCATCTTGGCATATAAAAGAATTAAAATTACCCTTGATATCAGTACCAACTATGACAGACTGATTTCTAGACTTAGCAAGCGTTTGGCCTCCTGTCGACGTGGTTCTGGAGTTGCCCCCTACAGGCGTAGAAGGAATTGATGCGATCTTGGCTGACAACGTTCCCTTTTTCCCTCGATAAGTTGCACCCTCGGCCCATCTAAGAGGCCTTTTCTCGAAGCATTCTAACCCAGCCTTTTTGCATTTCTTGCAGGGCGGCTGGGCCATTGTGCATTCGACATGCCGCCGGCGACAAGTGTAACAGGAACGTTGCATTGTGCGCAATCACCTCGAAACATAAACTGACTCCAAGGTGTCGACTTCCGAACCAGCGCGCAAAACTTCCGTATGTAAGGCGGCACAAGACTGCAGGGGCTCTTGGCAGCTTGCAAAAGCTATCGTCGGTCGGCGCGTCGTTGTTCAGGCCAGTAGATAGATAGATTGATAGAATGAATGGCGACGACTCCGAATACCGTACCCCGACTACCTGCCTAGCCCGCTATCACCTGACGCCTGGTTTTCAGCATTTGTCAGTCATCCTACCGCCTGCGGAAAGGATTTACAGGACTTCCTGAAATTCTGATTTGACCAGTGAGACCGGCGGGCATGCTATCCTGGCTCAACCCCGCTTCAGTACTGTAACTCTTGTTAATGGCTCGAATGGGATTTACTTTCAAAGTCAGTCAGTGCACCGTGGGTCACCTGATCTTACATATCTAGATATAAGAACTCAAGCCTAGTTCTTCCTGTCACAGACCGTTGGCCAAGTTGGAATATTTCCTGGTTTCGGAAGCTAAGAAGCTTACTCTCAGGGCGGCAATTTCGGGATGAAGTATTAGGACCATCTACCCTGCTGACGGAAAAGACGTCTCCCCGGACATTCTTCCTTTCCCTTTATTTTGCTACTCCCCAAACCGTCTCACCAGCAAAGGTCTGCTTACTACTGGTGCAGCATCAAGAAGTTAAAAGTCCTCATCAGCCGCAGCATCTGGCACTTCTATGTGACACTATGTAGCCTATCAATTCTTTTTCACTTGATCGCCAGAACAATGGTGCTTACAGTGCACAGCAGCACCTATACTAACCGCGGGAGTGGCCCGCTCATTGTGCTGGCTATCCTCACAAGATTGACATGGGCGCATAGACAGGCACAAGCTATGAGGAGGGTCGAGCGCAGAAGACGTTAGTGGGCGACCGGCAGGATTGTGAAAGACCACATCAGCATCAGGAGATAGCGAGGTGAAACTACAGGACCATGAAGCCTTTCAGGGTACCTTACCTGAATGACTAAAGACGCGAAGGCACGAGCTAAAACCCAATGAGTCAAAAAAGAGGGTGAAACATACAACCGCTAGATTCCCACCTGGTCACCCACCATACTACCAGCAGGCCGGCGTGTGGCTAAAGCGCGGCCAATAGTCAGGTGGATGCCTCCTGGGAATAGGGTGAGCAGGGCGAGTGCGCAATAGACAGGGTGAGAACAGGTTGAGACTGGGTGAGACTCACACTCTCTCATGAAAGAGTCGCGCTCTGGCCTTCTCAGCTGAAGTGAAGGCGCCATCATATATGTGTGAATGAAGGGATACTGTAAGAGTATGTTATGGTTGAATAGTTGACATAATCAACAGTTAGGATGTACAGATGGTTAGGCTGCGCAGCCTGCCCACTCACCTGATTCACGTATGTATGTGGCGGGCATTGAAGTTCAGACACCCAATATCTGTAGCACTCTGAATCTACATCTGCCATCTCATCATCATCGGTCCACCTGGGTGCTACTCTCAGCATCCAAAAACTTGCAGCGCCCGTTGCATATCCATCAGGGCCACCCAAGCCCATGAATTTGGAAGCAACATTCTCTGAGGGTATTCTCTGAGTACGGTAGCCCACTGTTTCGCCGCTTGGAGGCAGTTACTGACCACAAATCAGGGACAACATGAGCTACTACGGAGTCGGAAGCACCACCGAGGACGCATCCGAGTTCACCGTGGATCGTCGGATGCAGCAACCTGATCCAAGCTGTGACATCTGCCTAGGCAGCGGCACTTACACCGGAGAGGCCATGGAACAGGTAGCATACGCTTGTGAAGATCATTGTCAAGGACGATCCCGACGGTGTGCTGGTTGCGACGGCACGGGCCAGAAATGGTATACGAGTGTCTATGAGACTCAATTCAAATGCGACTGCTCCGGCTAAAAGTATGCCGGCGAAGCTCTGCAGATATTTTTGTATTTTTTCGAGTCTCATCTCGTTGAATACCAGATTCTCTGTTTTCTCTGTCCCTTGTTGTTGAGCATTGATGAACTTGTCCCATATTCACATGTGATGAAGGGGATAGCCCTTGCCATCTTTCTTCGTACATATTGCGTGCCTCATTGTGTTGCTTCGAATTTCTAATAAAATATTAAATCCATGTAAGACATGACAGCTACAGCAGATATTTTCTATATATATGATCTAGAAAGTGAGCAATGGCTATATAATACCACCTAGTTCACCAAACTCATAGGTGTTAGGATTGATAGTAGACTATTAAGGTAGGGTATAGGTCTACCGAGCGACGTCCTCAGAGAATGCGAAGAGGGCTACATTGCGCGGGTAGAATCCCGTAAACTGTGCTTGGATTAGGTTGATACTACATATAAGAGCACGGTGCCGGCTATGGAATATGGCTAAATAGACTAGAAGAGGAGAGAAATGCTATGTCCGCAGGATTAATGATCCAACAAATTGGAGTTCGCAACTATCTCATGAATATCTCTTTTGAGCTCCCTGTGCATCTGGAACAATAGTCAGTTGACATTTTTGGAGGCCAATTAATGAAATGACATACCCGAATAGCCAGGTCGACGGCACCCTCACAGGCTTCAAGCCGAAGTTGATTCAGAGCTTCCAATTTTTCGTTAATATCCGCTTCAGAGGTGGCTTCATACAGGCGCAGGTCGCCAAATTTACGAATTGTGGGCGTGATAAAGTTCGTAGAAACTTCAACATAAATGTTAGTTGCCCTGAGAAGAAAGTTGAAGCTGGCTTTCATTTTGAAAGCATTTTCGCGTAAGTCCTTTAGATTCGTTAGCATGCAAATATCTATATGACAGAAGAAGAAAAAGGGTAAGTACTTGGTTTACGGCTGCGTTCGCCAGACGCTCACTTTTAGCTGCTGTCTCGATCGTAAGGCGACTGTCTCTGACAGTTCTCTTGATAAATCTGGACAGCTGTAGCAATATGTCCATAAAGTCTTGTACGCGGTACTGAAGCTCTGTCAAGTGGTACACGGACTTTTTGAGAATCTCGGTGATCTCCGCCTGCGTGGCCAGCGGTTAGCACTGCCCCGTTTATATGAGAATTCATACCGGGATGAACGGACAATGGATACAGCCTCTGCAGACAGATCTTTAAGTGTAGCCTGAAATGCAGAAATTTCCTCTGTGACCTCGTTGATATAGGCCTGTCGTTTTGCTTGAACTTCTTCCATGGTGAGGACTTCCCACTTCAGATATGAGTAGAAGCAGTATCCAATAGCACCCGAAATCGCTGCCTGAGGCAGTAAAGGAAGTAGACCAACCAGGGTGGGGGATGTTGCGGATCCCGCTCCTGCAAGAAACGGTGTTGATGCTGCAGTAGTAGAGCCTGCGGAACCTGCAAGGCTTCCATACAACGCAGAAATATTTGAAACCCCAGGAATACTCGAAGCTGTAGTATTCGTGTGAGCAGTGACACCACAAAAGGAATAATAAGGGAAAGGTACCCAAAGCAGGAACCAGATTTTCGAAAAATTGCTTCTGCTCACGACTTTTCTCCAGGGATTCCTTTCGAGATTCAAACATTCGCAATTCAGAAGCCAATTTTACCTCTTGCAGATTCTTGCTTGCTTCATTTTCCCTGATATCCCTCTTCACATCTTTAGCTTCTTGCGCCTTTTTGCCTATCAACTATGAGTAATATTGTTTTTTGGTGGTTGGCCACACGACGTACCTTGTGATTCTCCTAGAGCCTTGGACAAATACAGCGTTGTTTTGGACCAGCCCTCGAATTTCTGCTGGACATTTTCCATCCCAGACATACAATCATCTATACTCTGCTGAGCTTGCTCGAGATATAGATCCGCATGGCTCTTCTCGTCTCGGTCTGCATCTGGCCTACAAAATCGTAGAATGCGCTCGATCTTGAGGCGGGAGTATAAGTATAGGTTCAATATGAAAGGAAAACTGGAAATCATACTATACCACCTGGTGAAGCAAGACTATCCGCTAGATACGCAATCTCGATCATCTCTTTCTCGGCTTCTTTGAATGCAGCTAGTCCCAACTGCACACAAGAATAGATATTCCCATGAAGTGTGCCGTATCTCGGGGGTCATTAGTCGGAGTTCAAGGATAGTTTGACAATCTTGAAGACTCACTCAAGCCCAGGTCCGCTCAGGCTAATGCTCATCAGCTCTGGTCGGGTAGAAAAAAGCTGACATTGACCAAGTACACCAAGCGCTTCAGGACCGGCGCGGAGGCTAAGATGCCAATCTTGGCGGTTGTATTCTTGTGAGAGACTGTTTTGCATGCGAGAAGTAGGATCCATTGTTGTTTCCGAAGAATTAGCTTAAAAGGATCGGAAGTTCTTAAGAGAAATCTGCTTGGAAAAAATCATCTGAGAGCCATCAAAATTCCTAGAATAAAGAGTCCTTATATGCCCAAGGTTCGCCAAAGATCAGGCAAAATGCATAGTCTCCATGGTAAGACATGTTGTGACATGATGTGATTGGGTCTCTGCTAAATTTCCATGCAGAGAAGGTTTCCTTCGAGTGTATCATTTGATTGGAGCCCGCTCAAGCCTCAATAAACGATGTGCCAACAAAAAGCGGTTCTCTTTCCCTTTTAGAGTCGTGGCTTTGATTTGAACGAATTAATTCAAATCCCAGGCGTTTAGTCTATTCATACTATAACCTTCATCAAGTGGCCAAAAAAGCCCGTATCGTTCGGTAAAGATATCTCCATATCTCGACCCGATATCCACTAGCTATGGATCTGACGTTAAACGTTTCTCCATCCCTGCCCTTCTTCATATCTCTTTGACTTTAATAGGTGGGATGCGGGAAGACGGACGCGGGACAGGGGCTGTGGCATGCCACGTCACCACAGCCGTTTGGCGCCAGGGCTCTGGGGCTCTTTGTTGAGCGTATGTAAAGAACCTGGAAATCGTGGCATAGCTCTTATTCGCAACTATCCATAATCCATGTTACATTGAATATCGTCTAACATCAGTGCCTACCGATCCCAACCTGGTTATAACGCTGCCAAAGAATATCTCATCTCGAAGTGTCATGGAAAGTAGTGGCTACTGTCAAACCAGTACACCCACGCAAGTTTACAATATGGGCCTGTCATCTGCCTCTTCAGACCTTCAAGAAACTTCGAGACGGGAGTACTCGGTAAACCAATGGAAAACAGCAAGGACGATAATCTACCGGCTGTACATTGAAGAATCAAGGACGCTGCAGGACGTCATGCTCGTCATGGCACTGGTATACAACTTCAGGCCTACGTGCGTGTTTTGACGTACTTTGATGAGACAGTACTAACAGAGTGCCGTTTAAGGGTTAAAATGTATACTTCGCGTCTCTCAAAGTGGCCTGAATGTCGGAAGAATACCCGCGCAACCGCAGCCGAGCAAGCATCAATCCAGTACAAGGCGTGTCGCAAAAGAATGAAAAGGAAGCGAAAAGAATTCATCGGTCTTGAAGCTGCATTTTTCAGAGGGCTGGCTATAATGGCATCGGTGAATGTGCCTCTCAAAAGTAGCGACTGGTGCGTTCATCAAGAAACTGTGCTTGACTGCGTCCATGGTTTCTTCTATGGCCTTTTCGAAAGCCACCGTTGGCAAGCAGACCAATTCGAGTTAATACCACCATCCAACAGCCCCAACAGGAGTGAATTATGGCAACAACTTAGTGACCAGGCCTTTGAGGCATGGGAGCTCGTCCGTGAATCTAACATGAAAGAGGCTGGAAGGGCATTGAATCATTTTTTCAACTTGCTCCAGTCAGCAGCATCTTCATTTGACCCATCCGTTATGATAAAATTTTGGCGCATCTCGAGATATCTCCTACGAATATCTGAGACCACTGAGAACCAACAGATATTAATAATATTCTTCCGCGACTTCCGATTGATGCTGCTGATATACCATACCCCAACATATCCGCTTGTACGCCTGCTTCATACGTTGGAGAAGGCTCCATGCGAGATACTGCCAGCAACATTAAAGATTGGCTATCTGAAATCTATTCATTCGCTAGCCACTTTTGGCGGATGGAATCATGCAGTGGTTCTATCAATGTGGTCCAATTACCTCAAAGAATGGGATGCAAGCAAGTTCGCCGAAGCAAAAATTCAGATAGGCTACGAAAAGCTCTTTGCAGATTCTGAATCTATACATGAAAGAGTTTCCCCGAGAGCATTCTTCATTCTCCATTCCTTTACCTATGCGGCTTATTACAATATGAGTGATGATGTGAAGGCTTTTCAACTAGCAAGTGATTTGCTAGACAGAGCTCAAAATATCATGTCACGAGACAAACCATACCAGTGGAATCCATTCATGTTAGCATTTGCATTCGCTTCAAAAGTCCTTGCTGTCATTTATCACCGGAATGGGGATATCTTAATGTCTAGGATGTGCTATCAATCTGCCATTGACGTTTTATGGAATGGTGATCGGAATTGTCGCATTCGCGCGAAAATGCTGATGAAGGAGATCCAGTGAGTCCCGAATGTGTCAGGCAGTGGAGCCAAATTCATAGCGGCCTTGGGGCTTAGCTCTCAGTCATTGTTTTGAATGACCTTCACAGACCAAGTCCTAGACACGACAACTTCCCTAAAAGTTGAAATTGTCACTAGCATCTAGATTTCGCCTTAGTGGTGGACGATCATCTCCTGAGTGACGATCTGAGAACAATTGCTGCTATTTACTGCTGTAGTTGAGTCTCCTGGAAGAAAAAATGCAGGTTTAGATGCTGGAGACCGCTCTAACGGGGTAGCAAGAGTACAGCATGTGAGAAGGCACAGCACAGATAACTTTATTCTTCTACAGTGGGGGTTCAAAAGTATTTGGACCCCCTTATGCCGCAAAGATCACCGCTTTCCATTTTGATCTATTCTGCCCCTATAGAAACTAGTATTTCGTATACCATCCATCTGCATCAAGGATTGCCTGCACATGGTGAGGCATAGTATTAGATAGATACTCTAGGACCCTCTTATTAATTACATGCCATGCCTCCTTTGCTGCCTCTATAAGATGCCTTAGAGTATCCTCAGTATCTGGAGCATGCTTAAGCTCTGGATAGTGCTTATAAATAATCACTTTCATAACAGCCCATAGATTCTTGATTAGATTTAGATCAGGGGAGTATGGTGGCCAGACTATAACCTGAATCTGCATATCATTAAGTAGGGACCTAATGATATGCGCAGTATAGACTAAGGCACTATTATACATAAAGATATCACCAGGCTGAAGTAATTCAGGTAGAAAAGCTTTATATACAGAATATATAACCCAGGAAGTTACCCCCCCCCTTCTAGATTCAGGGTTGCTATCTAGAGGGATAAAGCCTGTGTGGATATTATATCTAAATCCAGCCTAAAATATCTTCTTTATACCCTTTCCACATTAAATACCGTGTACATCATGCTTAATAAGTTGTCGAGATAGACTATTAAATATCTATATAGTTTAAATACCTTTACCATGCTTAACTAAGTATTCATCTATCTATTTCACCTGTCTCTAATCATCAGGTGTATAATGAGCGTAAGTCTGAGCCTATTATAAATGCTTAATAGCATTCTCTTCTTTAATTTCTGGTTGATTTCATTGCTTCTATTTGCACATATATAGACTCCAGAATAGTTAATGAACTATGCTCTTTAATAGGGAGGTATTAACTGTAATCTATAGCTCATATATCTTAATATAAGGATCCTTAGTTGCAAGATTAAGTAGATAATTCTGTTGCTTACTAGTTAAGGCTTTTGGATAACTGCTTCAGGGTAAGGATTGCTAATCATTACATTAATTCTCTTTTTTAATAGTATATTGAATAGTAGAGAGAGGTATCTGGGGATATCACATATAAATACACTTATATCCCCATCCAATATCATGTAGCTCACAGATTCAAGCATAAATAGTAGGTGTAAGCTCCTTAGATCGAGCCATCTAGATGTGTGTTGGAATAGAATCAAATCGCGTACGCAGCCATTGAGGTGGCAGAATAGTTAGAAATAGAAAGCGGTGATTGAACCCCCACTGTAACAGAGATACAACGTTACAATGGATAAAGAATGTAGTTGTCTGTGTAGACGCCGGTCCCAACGCCTATGTAAGTTTCCAGACTCGTCTAATAAACCTATAATTGCATAACAAGTGACTTATGCTCCGTTCTCAATAGTGCCATTTATGGAAAATGGAACGACTGCAGATATGCTTCTGCAGGATTTGAGTTGATGCGAGGGGTTGGTTATGCCTTGCTTTCTAAAATAGCCGAGTTCCTTGATGGCCCCTCATCCTAATAGTGACTGGTAACGTTCGATCCACTGTTACTTCCCCAATCTTAAAACGTGTCTAATTTCATAGCGGGTCATAGAAGTGAGTCTTACGCCGGTGGGAGCTTTTCCAAAGTAAATGTTTAGCTTATAGCCGGTCCGTAGCCCTATATTACCCCGTAGGCCGCGGAGCCCGTAGCGATGTATCTCCATTTGGATACCTAGTACTAACGCTGAGTGGTAACCTATAAAGGAGGTTAGCTCCATGCTTAACCCAAGTGTATTCTCTGGTGGACTATTTTTCAAGAACAGGAGCATTCTCTGGTTGCTATACGAATACGAAGCAATTTTTGTACGCCAATCACCTGATAGTTTGCTGCCTGCTGGAGCGAGTCGGATCAAATGACAAAAAGCAAAATGAGTCTAAAAAAATATAAAAGTAAAAATAAAATAGAAGATAGTATTTGAACAACTCACACCACAGACCCGCCCAAAACCAGGTTCAAGTGGAGCTGGTTCCATTCCAATTATTGCAGTTTCAGATCTCCTTAGCTAATCCGACACAGACTCAAGAAAGGAACATGGTTGATTGGCTGCTAGAGGTGGAGCTCGGGACGGCGGGAGTAGACAAGCCCGCGAACCATCGGATAGATCTAGACGGAGGAGTATCAATCTGGGGAGTCACTATGACTACGTGCAATAATGTTCGTCTGCACTGTCTGCAAATAACTCACAGTATTCATTATCTCTGTCTACTCCACTGTGATAGTAAAAACAGCAGCTTTTCAGTAGAATTCAATTAAGAGTGTATTCAATTCTTGCAGACATTAGCTGCGACTCCGGGAATGATAGATAGCCATCAGTGGCCTGTTATTGGGGATTAATAACCATTTAATAGCAGCATGACTGCCAGAATGATGAAGAAAAGCCACTTCATAAAGTATACGGGAGACCTCATTCTTAGGGATGGTCAACTCCACTTATGTCCCAAGGAAACATATTTGTCATTATCAATATCTTCCCTTATTTGTCATTAAACAACCCACATATGCGTCTATGTCTTAAATAGAAGATAAGTATTTTATGACTCTAATATCAATCCTTAGGTGAGTCCGCTCGTGCATTGCTCAGCTTAAAGTGGCTCTTAGTCAAGTGGAAGTGATTCCCATGCAGGGCTAGTACTTTGCACAGAAGGTTTATCCTCAACAGAGGTTTATTTTTTTTTATTTTCTTATTTTTTTATTATTTTCTGCTAAGTGGTTACTGTTGCCCAATTTCCTACAGACTAAATACCTGTAACACGTCCTAACAATATAAGTAGCTCTCACATTCTCCCATACTGGCCATGCACTCCTCCCAGCCTCCTCCACTCCCGTCTCTAACCCAGAGCACCACACACTAAGCACACGGTGCTACCCGCTGGAAGCGATGCTGGAGCGAGCCTCCTCTCCACCCTGGAATGGCAACCGCTGGGTTATTTGCCGCTTCTAGCCAGGTGACGGTAAATGTGTGTGGACCTAATATGTGACTCAATAATCAGTGCTGCCTTTCGCTGTATCGAAGGCGCAGTTAGTAACTGACCTGGTGGAATGGTGAAATAGCCCTGGGAGTAGCCGAGTCGAAGGGCCTCATCAGCGTCTTTAACATCATTTCTCGCTGTACTTCCTGGACCGCGCTCCGATGTTTTGCCAATAAACTGGTCGTCCTGATAGACCTCAAACCGCTCAAGTGATTGATAATCGTCGGTAATGGTGAGGATGGTTTCGAAGTCAAAGTTGGAAGAAAAGAGTCCTGGAGCTGGCGGTCCAGGCTTCGCATGTTCGGATGTCCACATGAGGTCGACTCGGTTCCATGGTTGGACAACGGTAGTACATAATGGGGCAGGAGCTGGACTTGCGGCAGAAGCTTGTCCAGGGGTCCTAATCCAAGCGGCGAGAGGTTAGGAACAGGTTGCAGTTGGCCTTGGGACTGGCTTACCCAGAAATGGTTCCTGTAGTCGGCACAGTTACCGGACAGGGAGTGCATGTGCCCTCTGGGACAGTTGTTGTAACCGTCGACGTAGACTTGCAACTAACAATTGTCTGGCACTCAGACTGGCCTGAGGCCAGAGAAGCGAGGCCACCAAGCAGCAGCAGGAAAGTTTGCTGATTCATGATTGTGGTTTGCAGTGAACTATGAGTCTGTGATCCCCGTAGATTAGAGTAGTTGTCGAGGGAGTATTTATAATAATCTCTGTTTCTCCTTCTTCAGCGAGGTTCAGCTGTTCGGATACAGTCTTACGTCAAGAGATCTGTATCTCCACAAAATCATCGACATCATACAAGTCTATATGACTCTAAGGGTATTTCATTATACTAAAGATAATTTCTTGAGGTGAGGTTAAGATAACTAGATCCGGAAAGAATTACATTCTATGTTAGGATTTTTTCAATATTTTCCTTTCCCTGTCTTCTAGTATTATCTATACTGAAAAGCTATGCCTCAATCCTTAGCTTAGAAGAGTGTGTTTGTATTTTGAATTATTTTTGATAAGTAGAAGAAATAAGTGTTCTAGAATTTAGTAATGGAGTGTGTTCATAGGTTAGGTTGCATTATTGTTTACATCACGCTATATACATAGATGATCTCACCTTCATTGCAACATCCTCGTCATACAACCCATTGAAGGGCTCATGAGGGTATATTGGATCATACCCTGTTGCCACAGCTTGAGGAAACATTGCCGCTCACATGTCCTGAAGGGCAGAGCCTGGTCCTTATTAGTTGACTGTAGATAAAAGCACTGTGCTTTTTGAGAAGGGTACCAGTCGATAATAAGAGTAAGAAAACTTTTACCTAGATTCTATCTCTTGGTTCTCTATATATTAACGGTTAATGGGGCTAGACTTGGGCTGGGCACGCATTCAAGTAGTGCGGACAGTTCTTCAGCCGTATGACGAGTAACAAGGTGCTGACCTTCTGTTCCAAGTACGATTCCGTCCGAGACATCCGGATCAACGCCATTACTGTGGATGAACTGTTCTTCATCATCAGAGATGAGCTTTGTGTTCAGTCCAGTTGTTGTAGCCGTCTCGCCACTCTGGTTTGCTGCCCAGAGGAATGGTCGTTTGTAGGCCGCAACAGCGGTAGGTTGACCTTCCTGGCTCTGTCACCGAACCAGGTCCGGACCCGGAGCGTGTAAGAAACTTGGCCATCTATCCCATGGTCCTCATCTGGCGATATGAGATTGATATGCGTCGGGAGGATCCTTAGTCGTCCCGGTGGTAATCATAATAAAGAAATTTGGGAGATAAAACCAGGAGGATTGAAATAGCTACGTTACAATGCGGCCGTATTTCCCCAGCTGGTTCCACTCCTATCAGTGACAGTACACAGTCATCATCCTATTGAGGGGATCTTACTTTTACTGTAGGTTGCAGTTGGCCAGTGCATCAATGCCATAGTCTATTAGGATCTAGAACGTGCTATTCAGTTTACCAGTGCCGCTGTGAAGTTTAATATCCTGTAATGGATTCTGATTAAGTAGTATGCATGCTACTGGATAGAGGGAGCACATTAATGGTCTTCAAGAGACAATCGTTAACCTGTATCACGGCGCGCACATCCCATCCCTCCTTAGGGCCTGCTGCAGAGCTACTGCACGGCATAAGGTGGTCATGCTAGCTGTTTCGGAGGCCAGAGGACAAAGTACTACCTGGCCACAGCAGACCATGCTGCACGTAGTAAGGCTGTCGAGGGGACACAACTTGACATACGTAGTCCACCATATAACCATTTTTGTCAAATGAAAGCAGGCACATACGACCATGAGACGTTGGGAAAGGGGTGTCAGCCTCGCGCCCATTTTCAGTCTGACTTGACAATTTATATGCGTACCCGTGTTCATGGCCCGACTATATTACACGAGTAACATCGAGCCTTGCCTGTTCAGCCTGATGTGGCTGATTACCCCTCCTCCCTCGGAGTCTGGGCGTGTAGCAACCACCAGATCTTCTTTAAAAAACCAGCTGACCAGAAGGCGTAATTGTCACTTGATTATTGGGCTTGTGCACTACATTTTCACTAGCTGATATGCGACGATGACGTCCCCAACTCTAACTCATCGCGATTATACGGTCGCTTGGATATGCGCCTCGCCGATAGAAATGGCCGCCGCTAAGACTCTGCTTGATGAAATCCATAATCCACTTTCTCAACTGCCAACTGATGGAAATACTTATACGCTTGGTAGCATGAGCGGCAAGAATGTAGTGATCCCCTGTCTGCCCTGTGGAGTTTATGGAATAGCTTCTGCCGCGTCTGTGGTAACTCAGATGCGTCCAACATTCCCCTCACTTCGATTCGGGCTGATGGTTGGTATTGGAGGAGGCGTGCCTAATGGTAGCGCCGATATTCGTCTCGGCGATGTGGTCGTCAGTGTGCCAAATGAAACTTCTGGCGGCGTGGTTCAATACGACTATGGGAAGACGTGTCTCAAGGGCTCCTTCCAGCGGACGGGGTCGCTCAACAAGCCCCCGCAGATTCTGTTGACTGCTTTATCCCAGATGCGCTGCGATACTATGCTACCTAATACGCAGATTGGAAGGATTCCATCTGATTACTTGCAGAGCAATCAGACAATGCAGGGGCGCTTTGCCCGACCAGCTAATGATTGGCTTTTCCACTCGACATATGACCATCAGAGCAGCAGTAAAGAATGTTCATCCTGTGACAAGAACCAGCTGGTGCAGCGTGCACCACGAGCAAATGACGAACCGCATATTCATTACGGCTTGATCGCATCGGGTAATCAAGTCATGAAGGATTCCAGGACACGAGACGCCATCGCTCGAGAGTTAAACGTACTTTGCTTCGAAATGGAAGCGGCTGGCATTATGGATCAGCTTCCATGCCTGGTGATACGAGGCATCTGTGACTACTGTGACTCCCACAAATCAGACGAATGGCAGCAATATGCAGCCCTTACGGCAGCTGCCTATTCGAAAGCCTTATTATCTATTGTGCCGCTAGTGAGAGACAATGTCGCGCAAGACCAGGGTATGTCATAGTTAATCTGGAAAAGGGCCATCACTAAAACTATAGTAGTGCCTGAAGTCACTGAAGAGGGAAAGGCCTGCATGCAAAAACTGTTTATCACCGATCCAATGGAGGACATGAACGCGTTAAAGCGAAGGAAAGGAAACCGTACCACTGGGACTTGCAGCTGGATTTTGGAAAAAGACAAATTGAAAAGCTGGGTTCAGCGAGATAGAGGAATTGACGCCCAAGAGCCAAACATATTGTGGCTTTATGGTAACCCTGGGACCGGCAAGTCGACAATCGCCATAACACTAGCGGAGGAACTCCCGAAAACCAAGGATTTCTCAATTAGAGACAGGGTTCTCGCATTCTTTTTCTGCGACTCCAGCTCTGAACTCCAAAGAACAGAGATTTCCATACTGCGAGGTCTTCTATATCAAATAATTGGTCAATACCCATCTTTCATGGAACTATTGCTCTTAAAATATAGACTCTAGCAAGATCATCTGTTCACATCATTTGATGCTTTATGGGCCCTGTTGATGGATATAGGCCGAGTACCGGGTGGGCCTGAAGTTTACTGTATTATTGATGCTCTGGACGAATGCGAATCTGACTTGCAAGAAACACTGCTGCGACAAATTGACCAGTCGTTCAATAACCCGAGGACTAATGATTCAGTCCCGTCCAGCATACATCTGTTAATCCTCAGCCGTCCATATCCCGAACTTGAACATGACCTATCTAGATTCAAATCTATGGACCTGGGGTCGTATCGAGAGATCACAAACGACCTCAGAGCGATGATCCGGAACAGAGTGGAGGACCTTGCTTGGCGTAAGAAATACCCTAAATCAGTGATTAGGGAAGTGTCCCAAATCTTGGAAGAGAAGGCTGCTGGGACATTCCTGTGGGTAGGAGTTGCCTGTGGCGAATTGACACGAGTGCAATCCAGGAATGCAGTAAAGGCCCTGCAAGCTCTCCCGCGGGGCCTACACTCTCTATATCAGAAACTCCTCAATGCAGCCTTCAAAGGCGAGGACGAGAACGATCGTCGCGTAATAAAGGAGATGCTGGACTTTGTTGCATTCGCACGGCGACCACTGACGCTGATGGAAATGGCTGAAGCATGTCGATTATATGTTGACAAAGATATGGATAGTCGCCTTCAGTTCACCCGGGAATTTATCGACCTGTGCCGCTTACTGATTGTCATCGATAATGGCTACGTGCGACTTTTGCATAGTTCCGTCCAGGACTTTTTAATCCTTGAGATCCGGGAGATCAATGCAATGAAAGCCAATCACATGCTGTCATGTCGGTGCATTGAGACTATTCTGCAGAAGTGCCAGCCAGGAGTTGATGAATCAGAATTCGACTCCGAAAAAGGGTTCCTGGGTTATTCAGTACTGCATTGGCCGGAGCATGCTAGGCTCTCTCAAACAGAATTTGCCATTCGGGAAGAGCATAAAGAGTTCTTCCAAATCCAGCATGGAACGTGGAGTAGCTGGTTGTATTATTATGACTACCTAAAAAGGACATTATGGGAAGCCTTGGGCCCTGGTCTTGCTCCAATTCACGTTGCAGCCCACTGGGGAATTCTCCCTTTAATGTCGTCCCAGCTCCCAGCGAGCTTGGAAAACAAAGATTTCCGCGGCCAATCCCCGCTGCTCATTGCGGCCCAGACTGTCCAGATTGAAGCTATGCATTTGCTAGTTGAATCTGGCTCATGTGTGGATTCTCTGAATAGTTACCATGAAAACGTCCTGCATGTCGCTTGCCAAAACAGTCAGTACAACAACTGCGCGATGACAAAGTTCCTGCTTGACCGAGGAACCTCTCCATATGTCTGCGATAAAGACAATATGACACCTTTCCTTTACGCTATTGGACACCAAAAAGAAACAATAGCAAGGGTTTTCCTTCAGAACGGATTCGACGTGAACTTCAGGATCCAAAGGCATTGCTGGACCGGACAAATGTTGAACAGCATCATTTCGTACGAAATGGATGAGAGCCCGGAACAAAATTCTAAAGTAAGTGTGGGATCGGGCCTAACGGCGCTTCATTTCTCTGCCCTAAATGCTTCTGCGAAAATGACGGCCTTGCTACTCCAATATGGGGCCGATCCAAATGCTCGTTCTGATACTGGTGACACACCGCTGCATCTTGCGATTAGACGCACGCTCCTCGAGCACGAATACGATGATCCATGGATAAGTGGTGTATATGCAGCAGAGTCACTGAGAGACTTGATCACGGGTCATGAAAGCGAGGCTCATGAGATTTACGAATCCATCAACCGATACAGAGAACGCATTGTTGAGACACTCCTCTCCAGCAACACTGTCGATGTCAACTTAGCCAACAACCAAGGGGACTATCCACAGCATGTGATCCCCTTTAAGAAGGATTATGCGTCGTCTATCCTATGCAAACTTGTTGCGAAAGGAGGGGATAGTTCTAGGCTAAACAGAGCTAATTAGAGCTGTCTTCACCTTGCCAGCAAGGCAGGAAACTTGGAGGTTGTTCGCAAACTTGTGAATGAAGGCCATGGCATTATGTTGCTGGATATTAATGGATTAAGCCCGTTTCATTATGCGCTATGTGGTGGTTGGTTAGAAGTCGTGCGTTTCATGTCTACAGCTTGTGAAAGCGTAGTTTCGGAGACCTGGCGTTCGCTTGACCACTTGGGCAAGAACCCTTTACACCATCATGTTGCATCCATTTACTGCTACACTTGGATGATTGATTTCCTCGTACAACGTGGCTGCAATGTCAACGATGCCGATAGGGAAGGAAACTCCGCCCTCAGTCTACACATGGGTTCATTCCGCCTGCATATTGATAGGGAGATCTTCCATCTACTTCTGGACAAAGGTGCCGACCCTCTATGCGTCAACGGCCAGAAGGAGAATCTGGCGCATCTCTTCATGCACCACAGGGGAGCAGACATTGAGATCCTTCAACTTCTATTAAAGTGTGGCCTGGATCTGGCAGCAAGAGATCATGAAGGGAAAACCGTTATGCATCATGGTGCTATCCATGGTGCGTTCACCCATGAGCTGGTAGAGTTCCTCCGAGTGAACGGTGTCCTAGACCCGTATGCCAGGGACTTCCGGAACAAGACGCCCCTCGATTATGCAGAGGAGCAGACTCGTCGCATATGGCCGCAAGACTACCCTGGATGTAATGATAGAGGGGATAAATCATTCAATTGTTTGAAGTATTTGAATCACCCCTGCGTGACATAAAGTACTTCGGCCAAGGCATTATTCATTACCAGTATATATCATCCCAGACTGAGTTTCTGTCAATGAACTTTTTAAGCCATTTTTATATAATGCAGCTGGGGAAGTGAGGGATTCATACATTAGGGATTGAGTTGCACATGCTGAATGCATTCTCTGATATGATACATGCACGCAAAGAATGTTAACTGAATTAGACCGTTAATATGACGATAAATCTCTTTTCTAAAAGGCCAACCACGCAGCGCAGTCAAAAGAAACTAATACAAAGTGGTAAAGAGACAAGGCTTTCTGTGCCCAGGGCTGTAACAGGGCGTGACGAAGATGATTTAGCACACCTTGTCCCATTGTGGATAGTCTCTTCTAGTTTCGTAAACCCTTCTTCCTCATATTCGACAGTTGTTTCTTCTCCAAGCTCAGTATAGTATTCCTGAAGCTGGCGAATCTTGAGGCGCACGAACCCCTCGCGCTCTTTATGCTTTTGGGGAATTTGTGGTGACATTGTGGATCCTCTCCGCAATGGACGATCGCGGTACCCAGCAGAATTCGTCGAGTAACTTCAGTAGATCATGTCCACGGATGATACCATACGTGTGGCATGAATGAACCAGGCGCTCTTGTCTTCGACTGATCTTCGCATATGTGCTGAAAGTCGGTCCTCAGGGTTAGTCCCACTGGTTCCCTCCTTCTGTTCCAAACAGTTCAGAAAACGCTCTGCTTTGGGAAGAAACATATCGAGAAACCCGACGGCACCAATTTCATTAATAATTCGATGAGGGCGTTGAAGAAGGAGCCACGATGGAATAGTCCCGGCGAACTGCATGGGAGCTGTATAGCAAGGCTCCCAGTCAATAACTCCCGTGACGCGAAGGGAGTCATCCACAAGGACATTGCCGGGTCCGAAATCGTCGCAGAACAACTTATAAGGGCCGTGATTCTCTTCCTGGGAAATGAAATCCAAGGCTACAGCTTTCATCAGATGGCGACAAGCATACCTTTCCCGGCAATCTTCTGAATCATACACGCTGCTCCGTTGTTCTCTCAGGTGAATTGACTGCAGTTGCAACAATGATGCAATATAATTGGTAGAACTGCGATATACTCCTGAAGGTGCGCGATTTCCTGTCCCGCAGATCCGCATGAGCTCGTTGACTTCCAATGTCAAAGGCGCGCCGCCGTCAACCATATACTGCCCACTTTGTTGGTCTTCACTTAGGCAACCGATGAAATCGAAGTCGAGCTTCCAAAGCTCCAGCAGTATCTCCGCCATTTGGTTATAAAGAAGCCCCAATGTTCGGGAGTCAATATCGGGTTCAAAATATCCTCCTTCCCTGCCCTGTCTTTTCGAAGGATCTCTGACATTTTCCTTCCTTCAAGCCAGGTCATGATAATGAAAGGCCCAAGACCAGTGGGGTTCTCACGCGCTACTTCATACGCAATGACACGACGGACAGGTATCTGGATCCTGCTACCGATGAATCCCATGAGCACAGCCTCTCTGTGGACCTTTTCGTCTAGATACATTGATTTTTTCCAGGCAACGGAAATCGAATCAGCCAGTCCTCGCCGCCATCTTCCCAATGCAATCGTAGGCTGAAATTGAACGAGCCAGAGTGCATTGACTGGAGCAAGCAGTCATCGCGTTTTCAGTAACGATTCGCCAAGTCACAAATCCCTTTGGATGAGGAGGAACACAGCCTGATCCACTCTTGTCTGAGAGCGTCGAACTGCCGAAGTTGGATGTCATCAAAATCCATATATTCAATAACGGCCTTGAGGAGGCTTAATTAATTGAGATGTTTGGAGAAGAAGAGGGACTCCGTTGTTGTCTAAGATTTCCTCGACAGCATGAACGGTGCTCCTAAAGGCAGTTGTTGACATAATCACAAGACTGCTCTTTCTGTTGCACCACACATCATGTGATTCCTTGCATATACTGTTGATCGCATTGATCATGACTAAAAGCATGGTGAATGGGAGGGTCAAAGGTATGGCCTCAATATCCCAAGCATCCTACACCCCCCCGTTCGGCAGGCGGTTGCAGATTGATGACAGTCAGACGCCCATCGCACGATGTACCAGTAACATGAACGCCATGGTCTTAGTTCGCAGCTTCCGATACAGACTGCTCGGCGAGCAATGTCAATCTTTGGATGAAAGCTTCAATAATAACGAATGGTGGAAAACGCTTGCTTGGTTCGACACAATTAAGCTGGTGAAATACATCGATTGTGCTCTCTAGTAGATGGATATCATCCTGGACTCCGCACTGTGTGGGAGCTGAGAGTATGCGCATGTAGAGCGAAATACTTGATGTCAGAAGAATTTGCGCGTATATCCTGTACCAGTTCGTCAGAAATAATGCGTTGTAGAACTATTCAATGCCGCTACTTACCAGAATGTTTCAGGGAAGATCAAATGACGGATTCGACGCAGGTATATCAAAGTGGATCGTGCCGCCTGATAACATAACTCGATACTTGTAGATGGAGGAGACAGACTCTGCAGAACCGGGGTTCCGATGGCGCTCGCACCGTGAATCTTAGAAAGACAGTGGTAGTACTCGAGATGCACATTCACGCCCCGTAAACTGAGATCATGGATAAAATAATCTGGCACGTTTCCGCTCACAACGGCATCAGGTTTACAAGCGGAGGGAAATTGAGACTTCAGGTCATTCAACTCCTGGTCCAGTTCGCGGATGAGCTGAAGTCGTCTCGCTCTCGAATGGCTCAGACTTTGCTCGGAATAGAGCAGATGGTAGACCCTTGATTTAAGCATAGCCAGACGAAGGTCGGAGGGGTAAAGAAGTTCCTTGGATGATAACTCGGACGTGAAGAACTGGTGCTCGGACGATTGTGCAACGTATCGTTCAGGTAGAGTCAGGTCGCAGTCAGTGTCATTGATCATCGGAGGCTGACATTTTCGAAGCGACATTTCTTTATCCACAGCGTAAAAGGTCCAGAACAGAGCCCGCAAATGCTGATGTTGATGCTTGTGGGCGGTACTTTCATAAGTCGGCCCAGTTCTATGTGCACCCAGATTGAAGAGGATCCGAACGGCCATAGCGAGTAGTATTTCCGCTGTCTGCGGTTGACCCAAAGGAGCGATATAGAGTGCCTTTTTTGACAATTAGACGCGGCACGCAGCAACGTGGTAGAGTTTTGACTCACGAGGATAATCAAAGCTTCCAGAGCTCGGACGTTAGTATGTTCCACCATCAACTGTGGTAACACGGAAAGCACTGCTTGGACGTAAGCATCAGGGTCTGCATCAGCAAAAGCAGGTTCTTGTCGACGAATCCTGGTTATCATTGCTGTCAAGGCCGCTAAACAGGCCCGGTCGGCAATACAGGTCCCAACCCCGGAGCCATCGAAGTCGGAAGCGTCAAGTAGACACGTTAGTGCGTCAATGTCGACGACCGGATGTATTGAATACAATCCATTGCTCGAAAAGTACTCCAACGACGCCTCGATCAGGCGGCGCGGGGGCCATTTTGGCAAGACAACCCGGGCGGGTTTCGTACGGAACTGCAGGTCGAATGAATCCGCCACCCGGTCGAGCAGCTCCTCCAGGTCAAAGGCTGGATCTGATTGTATGGAGGCAGCAAACGCGGGAGTGCAATACGCAAGATGCCACCGAAAAGCTTTCAACGTCACATCGAAGCCACGGGAATCAAAGAGATCATTGACGAGCCCGGAGGATCGATGGAGACTGGCACTGGGACTCTGGCGGGCGCCCCTCTCCGCTCTTAACGCCTCTTCTAATCGACGAACTTCAGCTCTGGTGTCTTGCAACTGTCTGATCATGGAGTGTCAATAGGATTGATATCAGATGCATGTAGAAAGGGGTCAATCTTACTCGCGGACTGATTTCCGCGGCTGGATCGGCAGCGGAGTAAATATACAGGGAGTAGAGGCAAAATGACAAGCCTCGCAGGCGGGTTTGGCTCTATCGCAACGAATCTGTGAGGATTGGAAATTGAATGATGGTGATTAGTTCAGGGAATCCCTCTGTCCAGGCTGTCACGTGTCCTCTACCAACCTTCCGCTGTCGGCATCGGTCACAGGCACTTCGCAGTCGGCCTCCGTAAGGCGCAGGGGCGGTGGTGCCCATCTCGCTGAGCCGGGTGACAGGTGTGTCGGCAGTAAGATCTAATTAAGCGAGCTACTATGCCGAAAGGGGCGCTGAGGATGCTATTCGTGGCACGATTTCAGGATTGGATTTGGGAACAACGCCCGAGTCTCCGAGTCTTCGACCGGCTAAGCCCGAGGTTGCTGAGTAAGCGGGATATATCAAGGCCGAGAAAAATATCAGCACAAATTTAGAATTTATCCGGCTATATCATGTTGTGGTAGGAGGAGTCTATCTGGGGAGTTCAAAATTAGGACCAGAACGTCATCAGCCAACACACCCGTCCGGCTGGTGTTGGCACGGATTGTCTCTACCACACTCTTCGGCCACACAAGGTATAGTTGGGCTTTTTTTCCAGACATGCACGTGCAGATATTCACAACCCAGGCCAACATTCCCGCCATTGGAACATTGCAAAATCTATTGGTTGCTTCCAATGACGTTATTGGGGACAGAATGGCCAGTAGGGTGAGAAAATGAGCCATCAACACCTGCGAGATCTGATTCTCGGGATCCAGGAGATGGTGGACCTCGCATTGAGGCAAGGTGATAAACTTGTTCATGATGTTGGTGAGATGGACATAAGCCGCACAGGAGGCCGACTGTTGAACAGAAACGAGAACGTCAACTAAAAGCTGGTAGAAGACTTCTTCGACCGGATGCCGTAACAGAGGTTTCACGAGATGTAGCGAGCGAATACCATCCGACGCAATCCGACTATCGATTGTAGGGAACCGGCCAAATTGTGCTTCCATGTATTTTATATGTGAATTTGCATCGATCGAGAAAGATCCGTGCAAGTTCTGTTGTAGCATCAATGTGGTCACCAAGCCGCAGCCTCGCAACATCATGATATAATCAGAAAGGCCGTCGAGCATGTACGAGGACTGAAAGGTCAAAATATAGCAAGCTGCCAACATGGCGTCGGCGTCAGAAGCCTCGCCTGGCGCTTGAGACATTGCTTCATTTAGCCCTCGGAGAGCCCGCTGGCGATGTCGCAAGGCCTCAACAGGGAGTGCGGACCCGGTTAGAAGAGCGAGATGTGATGAAGACAGAGCAAGAATAGCGTGCATTACATATTCATGCTACTCCAAGTATCAGCAAGAAGGTGCTAGGTCTATCACTCTCCATAAGGGTCTTACTTTATATGTGAGCGCGGGGAGCGTTCGTGTATAGATATCATCGTTCCCAACTGGTAGGTGCGGATGAGCGTCAGTGATGAAGTGTTGCAGCAGGCACATGTCGGCAATGGTAAAATCTGCAGCTTTTCTTAGGGGCTGCAGATATGCCAGTTGACTTGAAACATCCCGCGCTGGATCTCCACGATACTGAATGTCGTTCCGTAGCCCAGGCGGGTAGACGCAGACCAAGTTCTTTCCCTGGCAATTCTCGCAAGCAGGATGGTTCTCTGGACACTTCTGTGGGTTTAGTCTAATGTATGAAATGAAGAGAAACTTTGGCGACCAGTCTTACCTTTACTCTCCGGACCTTGCAGTTCAAACACCCTCTCCGCGATTTGTTATGGGGACGAATTCGTCTTTTTGGGTGTGACTTTTCAGCCTTTGAAAGCCCCGTTTGTGCAGTGGCCGAATTTTCTTCCTGTCGTCCAAGCCACCATCCTGGCACAGTATTCAGATTTCTCCTGCCATATACTAGGTGGTTTGGATCCATTGCGGGGGTTGAACGCCTGCGTTAGTCAGAAAGTAAGAAGATTGTAGAGTTGCCTGCATGCATAGCCTCCTTCAGAGATCACAGTTGTGAACATATGGACGCTTCGATCTGTAAGTGGCTGCCTAGTGATGACCAAGATGAAATCATGAAACTAATTTTGAACACCATCAAAGGGCGGTGGAGCATCCTTTCATTGGTCCTCGACTGTTCGGGGTGGGCTTTGTTCGTATTCGCACCCTCTCGGTTCGCACTCGCATTTAGTTCGCATTTGATAGATATCGCATCAGTCTAATGGTTTACACACTACCGATACATGTAAATGGGCAAAGATGTTAGCAATACTGACTATAAATTAAACTTGTCCGCGCAGTCGTATCTCTAAGTATAACCAGATAAGAACCATATTCAGCTGCAATATGAAGACAAGCCATTGTTTAATAGCTCTCAGCACGTTTGCTACTACTCTCGCGGCTTTGCCAGATATTGTAGCAAGAACACAACAACGAACCTTCTACGGTGTCCGAGTGCATGACAAAGTAGATGCCTATCTTGGGATTCCATATGCCAAACCTCCCCTCGGCGATCTTCGATTCCGCCCTCCACAACCTCTTGACATCGGTGACGAACATACAATCGTCAATGCAACTCAATTCGGTCCTGTCTGTTATCAGTTTCGATATAAGACCGTTTTAGGAGACAACCTAGCCCCAACTACCCCGGAGTCGGAGGACTGCTTGTCACTGAACATCTTCACGCCACGTGGACGTCCAAAGTCCAGATTGCTCCCAGTTTTGGTCTGGTTATATGGGGGTGCTTTCAACGAGGGAGGCTCGAGCGTTCCACGTAGGTCGTTTGCCAAGTTGGATATCACTCATGCTTACCTATTTTAGTGTTCAACCCCACGGGGCTCGTCGCAAACCACGCCGATATTATCGTTGTCACTTTGAAGTTCGTACACCTTCTATCCAACCCATCACGCTGCTTTTCCACTTTTCCATTCGATACTTTTAGAGTGCTCACAAACCAGTAGTTACCGTCTCAACGTGTTCGGATTTCCCAACTCTCCCGCCATTCCAATCGACCAGCAGAACCTTGGTATTCGAGACCAGCGAGCCGCACTGGAATGGCTGCGCGAGAACGTCGCTGCATTCGGTGGCGATCCAACCAGAATCACACTAGGCGGCCAATCTGCAGGTGCGGACTCTGCTGCCTTGCTGACCTATGCATTCAAAGATGACCCGATCGTGCAAGGTCTGATCCTGCAGAGCGGGATTCCAGAATATGTCGGGCCCCAGGATGATTTTGTGTTCATTCAGGCGGCAGAGAGAGTCGGGTGCAGAAATGCCGCGAACAGGACCAATGAGCTGAGTTGCATGAAATCAGTCCCTGCACTGATTCTGCACAGAGCGCTTTCCAACCTTACGGTGAACCCATTCGGAACGACCGGAGGCGCCCCCATGATTGATAATATCACGCTTTTTTCGGCAGAAGAATATGGCCGTCTTGGATCGGCTGGCTCTTTTGCGCGTGTTGTGAGTATCTCATTGGTCCCTGTACCTATCAAGTCCTAACTTGGTTGCGGCAGCCTGTCCTGATGGGCATCACAAACAATGAAGGTGATGGAGTTCTGAACTGGTCTGAAAAGGGCGTCAATAAGACCCTCTCGGACATCCTCACGACCACATATTTTAATTGCCCCATGTCTCAAGAAGCCTTGTAAGTTCGTGTTGACGACTGTGGAGCAGTATAGGGTGCCAACAAAAGTTCAGTTTCCGGACGAAGCATCAGGTTCCAGTGTGGAGGTATCGCTACATGGGAGTCTTCCCAACGATCACATTCTTCTCATGGCTAGGATCTTACCATCAAGGTCGGTTATATGTCCTGAATGACTTATAGAAGCACCAGACTGACTAGAATGTGTCATAGCGGATATTGCGCTTGCATTAGGATCATACAGGCATCTCAAACCTCACAAAAAGCCGCAGTGGTACGAAGTGGCTGCCAGCGATTACCTCCAAAAAGCGTGGGCAGCATTCATCAAGTCTCCGACGGATGGCCTGTCAAGGAAGATGGGTTGGCCGATATACAATCCGAATGGTATAGTCCCTATGCTTTGTCATCTCGTTCTGAAGCCGTGTCGGTATGCTGAGAACCACTCTCTAGGTACAACGCTCGTCGAACTCTTCGCTAATAACACTCCGACTGCTCGTCTCCGAGAGCCGGCTGAATTTGATGCTATTTGCTCTCACCCACCTCCAATTCCGTCCGACATCTGGTCCCAAGGCCCTCCTTGACTTGGTGGGCACACTAGAAGCAGCAAAATGTTCCATGTTAGAGGGGTTCGTGATTGAGAGGGTACCAATAGCCCTAACAGTGTGCATATTAATATTCACCAAGCGGATATTGATCCCTGTATGGCTGTGATTTTATGTCTTGGAGTCATTTATTGCATATAAAATGTTTGCCTAATCAAGAGCGTTTATTATAAGTCACCCTGACCCCACAGCTCAGCCTTGCGATCGACACGAGGCCATATAGTAAAGAATGGGGGGCCTCGGGCGTCTGCACAGCCCCGTCGTAACATCAGGCCACAATCGCAGGCGGCAACGATCAGTGCTAACCCAGTAGTCTATTGTGAAGCATTGAAGAACATACAATATTCAATACTCCGTAACATTCAAATCATTCAGCCTTCCAGAAGCGACAGTACCTTGTGCCCGGTCGACGAAATCCTTGCGTAGTAGTGAATATATAAATCTTCACTGGTCACATCAAACACGCATACCAGAAGAATGAACCTCATCTACCAGTCAATCTAGACCAAAATTCAAGTCAACCAGTTAAACTCTGGATTTTACTGCCTGATTAATCAAATCCACTAAGCAATATTCGATACCTACACGCTCACAACGTGCTTCGGTTTATCCAAGTACGACGACGAGAGACATACTCCTCCTCGACGGTCTAACAATCCCGGACACTACTACTCCAGTGCAAACAATTACAACTACAATTACAGCTATGATAACGTGAAACACCGAAACGGACGGAAAAAGCGCCGTAACCATGGACTAGTGGCGGCTATGGCAGCAGGGGCAGCCGGCAGCACTGCCAGTTGTGGAGGAGGAGGAGGAGGAGGTGGTGGTGGTGGTGGAGGTGGTTGCTAAATCATTGAGCTTGATAAGACTGAATGTCTCGTGTGATTGTTTATGCTTCTATAGCATCCTGCGTACCCTGCGTTGTTCATGGCTTGATGTGTTCCTGTGAGCGTTGAATGTGAACTTGGAGGTAGATTGGACGCTGGAGTTGTCTCTTGTAGGAGTTCTGCTATTGACTCGACAGCCACATGGCCATATCGGATTTAAAAAGTAGACAAGAGGGCCTACAGTCATCAAGGTGTTGAAAGTCTGAGGCGCATATAAACATGATCATTAAATATCCTGACTTGCTTGACCAACAATGCATTAATAATCAAGGTGTCTAGTCAACGTATCACTGGAGCTCGAGATGATCCATGGCGCCCCATTCATTGAGCCTTTCTTCGTCCCAGATTGCATAGCCCCATTTCCAACACGAACCGTACGGGCCATATGAGTACATATCCTCAAAGACTTGAGGATACTCTAGACGCGCATCGAGCCACCGCCTCGCCCAGGCGACGTTAGGCCGCTCGTGCGGAGGCAGCGTCTCCAAGTATGCCTTGAGACCGTTGAAATCTGTGCCGAAGTTGAATCTATCGGCAGGGTACAGAAGGGGCAACGCTCCGGGTTCTTCCCAGTTTGGTTTGGGCCAATAGTCAACAAACGAATGGCTAAGAATGACCGTGTTGGCCAGAAGCAAGTCGCGGCGAGTTCTAAAATCCGGTTCACGGAGTATCTTCACAAGCAATGTTGGTACCATCTGGGCTAAGGTTTCCCTCTGCTCAGCTTGGTGAATATGCATATGGTCAACGTCCAACCCAAGGCGATTCAGAGGGGGCCGCTCTTCGGGAGGAAGATCGCTGAACCAGATAACACCATCAGCCGCATAAGCCGCAAGGGTTTTTGATATTTCAAGGTATGGCTCCTCCCATCGATTATAACAATGTTGCCAGAAACAGCTGAATTCTTCGACTTCCCATGGCGCAATGGGTCCGAAGAATAGACGCCACGTTTCTTCATCCGTGAAAGTAGGCGTCCGGCCACGATCATCAGCAAACCAGTCATTTTCTTCTTCGACGTTGTCTGCACCCAGGGGAATTGCTATGTGACCGAATATGTTGCCATAAATCTGCATCCGATAGAATGCTCGAAGAAAGCGTCTCTGTTCCATTCTGCTTAGGGTCAGGGGTAAAATCTCATCCTTCCATTTCTCCAAGTCGATCCACGCAGGACGAGTTGCTGTCCGGGTATAATCGTCGAGGAGAAAATGAGCCACTCTATGGAGATGCAGTAGTTGAATTATCTCCTCAATATCAGCAGGCTCGTCTGGAAACGGCCATGTAGACAGTCCGAGGCGGCGGATCTCTTCACTTCGTCGTCGGCTGTCCAACAAGGCAATAATCTCTGCGCGATTCGATGTCTTGATGGCGTATAAGCCTCTGGACCGAACGGCAGCTATTGCATCTGCCATGTCCACGAGTCCATCGTAAGAGCTCTGTAGAAGCACGTAGAGAAGTTCTTGTCTAACGAGCTGATATGCTCGGTGATACGTTGGTGACGCGCATACGAGCGATCGAAGGGAATCCAAGCCATCAATATTGAATAAAATAGAGATCTGCAATTCCACTGGTAAACCTTCGAACGTTGGCCGGTTCTGCTACCTTGGTTAGAGAATTTGTTTGTGTTTTCGACACCGCTTCCATCATGAGTCTTACAGAGTCTTCCATATTGAAGCCGTAAAGTTTGCTCGATATCAAGTTTCAAACAAGGACATACATGAATGCTGTCGGGAAGGAGAAAAGGAAGATGTGCTTGTTAGATACTTGCAGGAGGCATATGACTCCGTAGTCCACACTTTAGGCGCCTTATGTAATACGGCAGGGATCATCTTCACTGGGCGCTTGCTGGCGGTTTTCCCATGCGCGCTACGGTGCTCGTCTCCATATTGGGCATTGAATCATAAAGTCGGCGCTAAATTATCTTGACTCTTTATCTACTGGTTTGCTGTTCCCTCTTTGTCTGTTGCGGACTAATTTACCGCCATGCACGGAGTCCGTTTGACAATATTCCTGTGGCTGTGGTATTCCATTAATATCCATCCCTGCCCTAGGCTTATCAGCATTGTGTTTTGTTTGAAATATAGACGCTCTGCGAGACTTCACAAAAGAAGGAAGGCTTTCTCTAAGGATGATGTTAGTACCCATGTACTACGAGGAACGCCTCGTATGGACCAAGTCGGATAGAGTAATCAGCAATCTACTACTAGCGTATAAAAGATGGTTAGGAGAATACCTGCAAATGAAAATCATCTCACTGTGAAAGCTTTAGCAGATGCATAGGATATCCCATGGTCTGTTGGTACACCATCACAAGAGATAGCCGCCGCCTTCTCCAAGGATGCGATCACTAACCGCCAAACATCAAGCCGTAGGCAGCGACTCGTCCAATATTCTGGGAAGTCTCGTCGAAGGAAGTATTGCACCACCCAGCAGCCAGCTCACTCCAGGATATTGCGAGATGTTGGGCTTAAAATAGGTAGTGAGATAACGGGGTGGCTGCGAAGTGGACCGGATGCCAATGAATGCAGGTGTATCAGGCACTGGCAAAACAATACGTGTTTTATCGTTCCTATGCGCGCGCCAGGTACTTCGCTCGAATCAAATCGCTAGACTATATTGACAGCAGATCATGGCTTTCCAGATTCTACAGTAGACGACTCCAAGGTATAAAGATCCGTATGTCCACGAGCTGGATAGGCCTGAACATTATCGAGATCATCGAATACTCTGCCCGACATTTGTATATTCTCTGAAGCCTGGACCTATAGCACTTTCTAGCTCTCCTTTCTTGGGCTTCCCTTTTCCCGCTGTACTCTGTGATACACAATGAGCCGGGGTCAGACTCGCGACTGGAAGAAGGAGAGAGTTGTCTTGGACAGACGAGGCTCGGACGGAGAGTACGATGTCTCCTATAACAAGTCTGACCGCATTGAACGACCTGGACTGAGCTACTACGGTCCGAACTTCTCCAATATCGAGAATAAACGCTCAGCATCTTTGGCATATGGGGATATCAGGCACCCTGTGACGCCTGATCGCTACGGCAAGCGCCCACAGCCATATACTCCTGAGGTGAAGAAGGACCATAAAGAATACAAGAAGTATGGCGATCTATATGCGGAGACCAAGGCAAAGACGGACAGCAAATATGGGCATCTCCTCAAAACTCCGAGAGACGACGACCACTATCGACAGAACATAGCAATGGCTCGTGACCTTTCGCATGACACCAGGCTGGCAGCTAACACGTAAGTACCGTACACAATATTCGTACGTTGATTCAGTCACTTACATCTATCCATCACTTTCAAGTGCTGCTGCTGCTCGATCTGGGTTTTCTCATAAATACCCATATGCCTACGACGGCCAGAGAGGCAATGAGGGGCATGAAAGAGCAATTGAGACTCTTAGGAAAGGGGCGAAAAATGCCCGGAAGGCGGAGAATAAGACGTCCAGATTACTGGGACTGAAATAATCTACGGCTGCTATGGCTTGAATCAAGCTGTAGACCCGTGTGAGTGTGGCGCTGTCCGTCCCGCATAACTGGTCACTTTGCTACCATTCATATGTTTTATTCCTTTTTTTTTTTCTCTCTCTCTTTTTGGCTTTTTTTTTTTTTTTTTTTTTTTTTTTTTT